CCAACACCCTTTATTTGGTGTTCCCTTTTCTATCTGAGCTAATGAAGATGTTCAATGAACTCATTGAAACAGTGAGACAGATATCCAGTAAATTGAAGGAGGACATGAAAGAAACAATGGATCGGACAATCGAGAAAATTCAGGAAGAAATGAGAGAAGAAATTGGAAAGCTATGCACAGAAATGTTACAAATAAAAGATTCCGTAGATGAAATAAAAAACTCAGTCTTTGCCCTCAATAGTAGAATGACCACAGCTGAAGACAGAATCAGTGAGCTGGAAGATCAGCTGCACCAAGCCAACAGGCAACAACAAACAAAGGCAAGAGACCTCAAAATAGCTCTAGAGCGCATTAGAGTCCTAGGAGATGATTCCAAGAGGAACAACATTAGAATCATTGGAGTACCAGAAGCTCAGGGAAACAATCCCAATGAAAAAGCCACAGTAAACAAATCATTGCTGAAAAATTCCCAGAGCTCGACAATGCAGCCATTCAGATTCAAGGAGCCCGAAGGGTGCCAGCTAAAAGAGACCCTAACAAAAACACTCCAAGGCACATCGTAGTTAGAATGATCGATGTTGCGGATTGAGACACAATACTGCAAGCAGCAAGGTCAAAGAAGGAAATCACATACAAAGGAACACCCCTTAGATTCACAGCAGACCTATCAGGGGAAACCCTCCAAGCCCGAAGGCAATGGTGGGATATAGTGAAAAAACCCACTGAAATGAATGCTTCACCAAGAATATCTGGCTAAACTCTCACTCAAACTCGAAGGAACGGCACACTATTTTTTGGGTAAACAGCAGCTCAGGAACTTCATAGACTCAAAACCAAAGCTAAAAGAAGGGCTGAAGGGGCTACTATAAGACAAGGCAAACCCTACAAGCACAACAGACCCTTACAGAAAGATGACACAAAACCCCATAACAATAATCTCTCTCAATGACTGGAATTCTTGCAGTGGTGTGTGGATGCCGCGTCGTGAGCACGCGTGTGAGAGTGGTCAACCCTGGCGGGTCTGGGTTTCCGGCCTCAGGGTTGGGCCTTTGTCTCTGACCGCGGGGATTTCATGAGGGACATGAGAAGTGAAGCGCCTCTTCCGCCGCTGTCTCCCGAGTCTCTCGGAGAGTTTTTCACGTGGAGCAGCTGTTCACCACCGCGCACTGCCACGTGGCCCCACTTTCCTGCCTTCTCAGATGAGTCCCGGGGTCTGGGGTCACGGAGTGTTGGGGGCTGGGCATGTCTGCTCTGGTGCCAGTGGTCCCGGTGCTGCCTGACGGGACTTGGGCATCCTGGGTGCCGCTGTCTCGGGCTCCCTGACCAGCGCTGCAGGCTGGTGCCTCAGCCAGGCTCCCGGGTCTCTCTCTGGCCCCCCTTGGCCATCTGCTTCGTGTCGCAAACTGTCATACTCTCATGGACTTTTGGGACTGGACTTTTCCGTCTTGGTGCTGCTAAGGTCCACCCTTAGTGTGGCACGTGTCGTGATTGTCCCCTGGTTGCCTCTGTGGGTAGCTTCTGTGTCCACCTGCTGGTGCTCGGGCTTTCCCTGGGTCCAGCTTATTCTCTGCTACAGTGTTGTTGGGAAGATCTGTAAGAACGGTTTTTGTGTAGATGTACATTTGCACTTCCCGTGTCTCTACACCCAGATGGAATGACTGGGGCAGACGGGAGCTGTGTGTTTAGGCCTCTAGTCCCCGCTGAGGGTTCCTCAGCAGTCATACCCCATGTGAAATTCTGGCCGTGGGGGTTTGGGGTTCGAGTTGCTCCATACCCTCCACTCTCACCCGCCTCTCTGTCTTTGGTTGAGTTTTCCCACGGCTGGGAAGTGAGACTTTATGAGTTTGAGCATCTCCAGGGTCCTGTTGCTCCTTTGTGCTCTTAATTTGTGGTGTCTATTTAAAGCCATTGCCCGTTTGGGGGTGGGGGTGTCGGAAGCTGAACCCAGAGCCTTGCACATGTGATATATAAGCTCTAGCTCTGAACCACGCTCCTAACAACTTTCCCCACTTCAAAAACTTGAGCTTTTACAAAAATGATGGGGGCTGGAGCCAAAGCACAGCGGGCAGAGCGTTTGCCTTGCACACGGCTTACTTGACTTCGATTCTCAGCATCCCATATAGTCCCCTAAGCACCACCAGGAGGAATTCCTGAGTGCATGAACCAGGAGTAACCCCTGTGCATCACCAGGTGTGACCCAAAAAGCAAAAAAAAAAAAAAAAGATGCAGTTGTAAGAATTTGTTATGCATGTTTCTTTCACATCTGTGACTTACAAATATTTTCTCAATTCTGCGGATCATCTTTAATTTTCTTCGCAGTTGTTGTCAGAGCACGTCACTCTGGCTCCCATGTAGAGGTCCCAGTGGACGGTGTGCGTCCCACCACCCGCGGCACACTCCGGATGTCTCGCTGGCAGACTGACCCAACAGAAATGGGTGTTATTGGCAGAATTTTATATCACGCTTCAGTTTGGCACCATTTGCCGAAGCAGAACACTGGGGGGAGTCCCCGGGTGGCAGGAACCAAGCTAGGTACCAGTGTCAGTGTGTTAAAGGGTCAGTTTTTTTTTTCTTTGGGGGGGGTCACACCCTGCAATGCTCAGGGGTTACTCCTGGTTCTGCACTCAGGAATTACTCCTGGCAGTGCTCAGGGGACCATATGGGATGCTGGGAATCGAACCCAGGTTGGCCACGTGCAAGGCCAACACCTTACCTGCTGTGCTATCGCTCCAGCCCCAAAGGGTCAGGTTTTAAAAACAAGTTTTCCTTGGTTTGGGGTCTTGGGCCCCCCTGGCAACATTTAGGGTAGTGCTTTCGACTCTGGGCTGTCGAGTGACCCTGATGGAGCCAGGGAACCCCTTGTGATGCCAGGGATGGCCCAGGGTCGCCGTGAGCTAGTGGGTGCCTTCCCTCCGGCATTCTCTGGCCTGAGTTCTCGCTTCCCCATTCTACTTCCTCTGCTTGTTCTCTGCCACGTGTTTTTTTGTCGTTGTAGCCAATAGCGCTCCACTTCCAGATCAGAGAGATTCTCATCTCTGATTTCTTCCAAGAATGTCGTAGTTTCATCCCTTAACATGTGGGTGTGCGCTGATGTTCACGTGTGGGTGAGGTGAAGGTCCAGACCTGTTCTCACCCAGGAGTTCCAAGGCGTCGTGTGCGCGTGTCTCTTCCGCTCTCTTGCTCTGCCTGCTGGCCTTTCAGATCTCCCCTTCCCAAGCCGTGGGTGACTTTCCGAGTCATGCTTGTCATCGACTTTCCTGATGGTGGGTGGGGACCACGCGGTGCTGGGGGATGCGGCCTCCCTGTGCAGTGTGTGCGCCCAGCCCTTTGACTTCTCACCCACAGTGATCTCTCGAATGCATTGTGCTCATAGCTGTGGGGTATATCAGGCTGATTCTTAGGGACCTGGAGGGGACAAAGTATGGTCTAATGCTAAGTTAGTCCGTTTTCCTGCCTTGCAAGCCTGTGAAGAATGACTGCCAATTATTGGACAACGTGTCTCTTAGATCACGCTTGGTGAATTAGATATCCAGAAAATTTGTACTTTGTTTGTTTGTTTTGTTTTGGGGCCATATCTAGTGGTTTGGGGGGGTCCTCGTAGCTCTGCATTCAGGGATATCATCCTGGTGGGCTTGGGGGACTAAAGGGCTGAACCCAGGTCAGCCCCGGGCAGGCGAGCATCTCACCTGCAGTATTACCACTCCGGCCCTGAGCTGGGCTTTAAAAAAAGCTCATGTTGATTGTTGAATGAACTGTCTTAAACTCTCCTGCTTTGATGATTTCCCCCCTCCACCCCGGCACCCTTACTTCTGTTCAATTTTCTTTCTTTCTTTTTTTTTGCTTTTTTTTGGGGTCACACCCGGTGATGCACAGGGGTTACTCCTGGCTCTGCACTAAGGAGTTACTCCTGGCGGTACTCGGGGGGACCATATAGGATGCTGGGGATCGAACTCGGGTTGGCCGCGTGCACGGCAAATGCCCTACCCGCTGTGCTATCTCTCCAGCCCATTTCTGTTCAATTTTAACTTCCTGTGGAGTTTTCAAACATAAACGAGCAGAGAGGACACAGCTCTCTTAGCTCCATTGGTTTCCCCATCATTGGCCATTTCAAACTCCTCGAGGAAGACCGCTGCTCTCTTCGTCTCTAGGTTGCTTGGGCCCCGTTTCATACAGATCCCTCCCCGTTCTGTTCGTGCTGGGGGCTGTGAACACACTCGACTGAGTGCTGGCCAGGAAGGCACCTGCACACGTGCTGATGGGGCGCTTTCTAGCGGTGATGCACACAGTGCTCTCAGAGAGGCTCTCTAGTGGTGATGCACACAGTGCTCATGGGGAGCTCTCTGGCGGTGGTGTTTGCTTCTTCAGTGGTTGTGCTTTGTGCTTCCTGGGAAGCACATATGTGGTCCTGGGCCTGCCCACAGCCCCGGGGTCTCACACTAAGGGCCTGAACTCCCCACCCATGCTTACAGCTCTCCCCACTGAGCCCCTTCTGCCCTCCCACCATTGTGTTTAGAGGCTTCCAGGGACGCTGAGACTGTTGTTTCTCTCCCTGCTGCGTCTCATCTGTCTGGGAGCATTTCCCTTCGGAAACCGTGATATGGTGTCTGCCAGCAGAGTCTTCGGGGTGAATGTTCTGGGTTCCGTCCGAAGTGATTTTGACCTCATGTACTTCCTGGCAGGTCTGTCAGGGCAGGGCAGGTTCAGAGTTCCTGTCTCGGCGTTTCGAAGGATGTTCCCGTGGCTTTGAGCTGTCGTCGCTGTGACCAAGGGAGGAATGGGATCTTTGACCTCTGTACCTTTCTTCACATGTCGCATCGCCTACCAGAAAGCATCCTGGTTTCCTCGAGGTTCCGCAGCTTTCCCATGATGCCAGAGCCCGGGGAGGCTGCCCCGAGCAGCCGGTCTCCTGCTGTCCCCGTGCCTCGGTGGTCTCCGCTCCTGCAGTCACGCCTGTGCCTCTCTGTATCCACTCATAATCTGTTTTCTATGTTGCTCTGCAGCGCTCTTGGACATAATTATGAAAAATGGAAGCACGGCGGGAAGCGGCCCTCATTGCCGGAGACCAGCAGGCAGCGGAGACCCCAGCAGGCCCAGGGGTGCCGAGGACAGTGGCCCCAGCGGGGCAGAAGGCGGGAAAGGCTACACCAAAGACCAGGTCGACGGGGTTCTCAGGTAGGAACCGGGCAAGAGGAGAGCAGGGGTCTGGCTGCTGATGGCCAGGAGTCGAACGTGGGATCTCCTCTGCTTTGTGTCTGGAAAATCGTTCTGCAAAATGCCAGTCTTTGAGAGTGGCCGTTTTTCACGGTGACTCTCAGCCACAGGGGGGCTTCTAAGAAATTTTCTTTTCTTTTTTTTACTTTTGGGATCACACCCAGCAATGCTCAAGGGGTTGCTCCTGGCTCTGTACTCAGGAATTACTCCTGGCGGTGCTCGGGGGACCATATGGGATGCTTGGGATTGAACCCAGGTTGGCTGCATGCAAGGCAAACGCCCACCCCGCTGTGCTATCGCTCCGGCCCCGAAATTTTTTTTTTTGAGAAAAATTTGCAGAGAAAATATTTTGGAGAAAAATTTTGGTTCTTCTATATGTGTGAGAGCAGAATGGTGGGAGCAGAGTACGGAGAGTGAAAAACAACAGCGGCTTCAGTTTTCTGCTTGAAGGATGGTTAGTTTTTTCTATTTCTAACCTTTCAAGCTCTAATGTAAATGCAGACTCGCAGTGTCTCCCCCGGAAGACGCTCCTTGCCCTGTAGTGCCGCTCACTCCCTGCCCGCATGCAGGGGGAATCTGGGGAGAGTCTGGGAGGGCTGAGAGCTCGCCTGCAGCGGGGAGTCTGGGAGGGCTGAATGCTCGGGGGCAGGCGTTGGCTCTGGCTTTCCCATGAGGTGATGGGAAGGTTCTGGTCCGCATGGCTCCCCTAAGGCCCGGGCTGCTGCATGTGCTCTCGGGAGTGTGGGCGTGAGCTGGCCGGGGAGGGGGCAGGTCGGAGTTGGGGGTCCCCCTCGCCCCTCCCCGCCCTTCGCACTGCCTCCCTCAGCCCCGACCTCCTCTCCCCTCCGCTCTTGCTGTTTTTTTCTCCCTCTTTTATTGTGATTTGTGATCATTGTAAGTTCAGCATCTGTGTGTTTATGTTTTGCTTTTGCCTTGTTCTGTGTAAATGCTAAAGCTTCGTGTGGGTGTCAGGCAGGAGGAGGAAGACCCTGCTCTCGGGGGCCCGTGAGTAGCTGTGCCGGGCGCTGGGAACACCGAGCGTGCTGAGCACTTGTGTCGTTGAGACGTCGCCTCCGAATTCCTGGAAGAAAGGGCTCAGAGGACACGGGGCTTAGTTGCCTTCCACGAAGCCACATCTATTCCAAAATAAGTTTGCTCTGTTTTTATTTGATCTGGCCATGTGTGATGTGGTTGGGGTCACTCCTGGCTGTACAGAGGGACCCAGGGGTGCTGGGAGACGGCCCACAGACACACATGCTCGGCTCCCCCCGTTTGCGCCGAGGTGGGACTGAGGGTGCTCGAAAGCCCCATTGCATGGGTGAGGCTGGGTTTGTTCCCAGCACCCCAAAACCCAAAATGAAACGGGCCGTCAAGGTGGTTCAGTAGGCCCCGTGCACCCCCACACTGCAGGGTCCTCTCAGCCCCCGGGGATCGCCCCCCAGCACTGCGAGGCGCGGCCCCCAACGAACTGAACTAAGCAAAGGTTCCGAGCGCCTGCCAGGGAGGTGCTGGGCTCGAGCAGGGGCCCGGGTGTCACCCCACAGTCAGGACTCTGGGGTGACCCCCCGCACCCACCGGGCAGCCCCCAACAGAACAAAGTCCATGGAATCTCCTGTCACTTTTGAAAACATCTCCAGGAAATCAGTGGAGAGTCTTGGTGAATAGAACTCCCCAGATCTGGTTGTTTTGCTGATCATTTGTCCGTATTTCACTCCTGTGGCCCAGTGAGCAGTCGACTGCCACCCAGGCATGTGGAAGGGCAGTGGCCACTTTGCTGCTTTGCTTCTGTGTCCAGGTCAGGAGCCCGGGATGGGAGGAGGAGGAGGGGACCCCCTGCGAATGGGTTTGAGGGGGCAGCAGCATGCGGAGGGCGACCATGTGTGGCCCTGTTCTCCAGGAGTCAGAGGTTACTCCTGGGGTCCAGGAGCACTGAGGAGACTGGGAGCTGGGGGTTGGGGGGGTGAGAGCAGGCTGTATTTGCCCAGGAGGCTGCGGGCTGGCGCATGCTGGTGGATTCCGAGTCTGGGCTGGTGCATGCTGGTGGCTCCGAGTTCCTGCCAGCCTGAGCCCGGCCCCTTGCTGGGTGGTCACTTGTGCTGGAAGGCTGATTCTTTTTCTTTTTTGGGGGTCACATCTGAGCATCACTGGGGTTACTCCTGGCTCCGCACTCAGGAATTACTCCTGGCAGTGCTCAGAGGACCATATGGGATGCCGGGAGCACCCTCCCTGCTGTGCTATCGCTCAACCCTTTTGCACTCAGGAATCACTCAGCATCATATGGGATGCTAGGAATTGAACCCGGGTCCGCCGCGTGCAAGGCAAATGCCTTACCCGCTGTGCTATTGCCCCAGCCCTGGAAGGCTGATTCTTGAGTCTTTTCACTATGACTTTGAAGCTGAGTAAAGGTAGCGCCCGCTTCCAGGGACCAGGTGGATGGAGAGGCCTGGACAGAACTCCTGGGTGATGTACAGCCTGGCCCTGTCTCTGCACAAGGCTCACAGGCTGCTGGCCTCCTGGGTGCTGCCGGGTGTGGCGGGGACCTGCGTGCTCTGTTTTCCCCGGGCCCGCCCAGCGGGACCTGTTGCAGGGAGCTGGGCTGGCCTGTCGCTCGCTCAGATGCCAGCCAGCACCCTGCGGGGAGCAGCGTGCAATCCTGCAGTGAGCGTTGCGTAAGCGTGCGCTCACACCTGTGCTCCTTCACGCAGAATTTATGGGAAAACCATTAACAAGAAGGCATCAAACTTGGGTTTCTAAGTGGTGTTCAGTGTCCTTTTTGTTGGCTGGACTTTGTCGTTGCTTTTGTTTGTTTGGGGGCCACACCTGATGGTGCCCAGGCCACTCCTGGTCCCCCTTAAGGTGCTGGGGTTCGGGGAAGGGACCGTGTGGTGCTGGGGATGGGACCTGGTCTCCCACGTGCAGCCAAGCCCCGGCCCTGGTATTTCAGTGAAATTATTACTCATGTGCTTGTTGTCTTGGGGCTGTACCCTTGGGGACTACTCCCAGAGGTGCTCAGAGGATCACGCAGTGCTGGGCTTATTCCCAGTCCTATCTCATTTTTTTTTTAATTGCATTTACTTATTTATTTATGGTTTTTAGGCCATACCCAGTACTGCTCAGGCTTACTTGTGGCTCTGTGTTCAGGATCATTCTTGGAGGTACTCGGGACCATATGTGCCAGGAATTGAGCCTGTATGTGTAAGGCAAGTGCCCTACCCACTGTACGATCTCTTTGGCCCCACTATCCCATTGGAAAACTTTTTTTTTTTTTTAATTTTTGGGTCACACCCGATGATGCACTGAGTTACTCCTGGCTCTGCACTCAGGAATTACTCTTGGCGGTGCTTGGGGGACCATATTGGATCCCGGGACTCGAACGCAGGTTGGCCATGTGCAAGGCAAATGCCCTACCTGCTGTGCTATTGCTCCAGCCCTGGAAAACTCTTTTATTTAAAAGATTGGTATGAAGTCACTAACTGAACTGCCATTAAATTTTAGGCAATTCTGCATAGCTCAATAAATAATTTGACTTATGAGGGTTTGAACATAGGATTCGATTTAAGCCATGGTCCTTTTAGTGAAAAAGTTACTTTGTCAAATTCAGACAATTAAATAAGTTTTTACCTAAGCATCAGTTGAAATCTGGAGTCTCTTTTTGTGGCCAACTGCAATGTAAGAAAAAGGAAGTGGTGGGTCCTCTGGCTTCTGACCCGCCTCAAGAGGCCCGGCTGCCCTGCTGTGGCTGGACCTTCTGCACAGAATTCCCTGCGGACCGGGAATTCTTACAGCTTGTCATTTCTTTTCTTTTGAAGTCTTTGTCAAGGAGGGAGAAGGTATGAATCTCAGGGATGTGGCGGCGGCTGAGAGCAGAGAGTAGACGTCAGCATGAGGAGGCCCAGCACGGGGCAGAGCCTCAGGACAGCGGTCAGGGGCTCGCCTGGACGTGGCTGACCCAGACACCATCCCCAGCCCCGAGCACGGCCCCTGAGCCCCGCTGGTGTGAGCCCTAACTGCAGGGGCAGGGGCAGTCCTGGGAACAACGGCTGTGGCCCCCAGGCCGAAATAAATGTACAGTTTTGCATGTGGTGCAGTTGACCGCAGAGGCAGCTCCATGGGCGGAGCACATGCTCTGTGTGCAGAAACCCCTGTGGTGGCCTGGCGCCCCCGGGAGCTGTCCCCAAGCACCTGAGTGGTGCTGGGTGTGGCCTACAACATTGGGAGATCGAGTCCCTCTGAAGCTCGTTGAAGGATGTGGTCTGCCTGGCCAGCCTGCTGCAGGGGTCACTCTTCCTGCCGGCTGCTCCACAAACTTCTTTAGAGTTGGTGAAGAGTCTTGTAGAGCTTTCACAGCAGTGAATTAGTGCAGAAGTTGCTCTTCCTCCTCTTTTCTTTCTGTGGCACGTCAGCTCTAGAGCTCACTCCGGAGGATCCCAGATCCCAGTCTAGTCTCCCCACACTCTTGGCCTCCTCTCCTGAGCCGCCCTGATCTGCTGCTTCCTGGGCTCGGGAAAGAGCTCCAGAACAATCTCAGGGCCTCTGCTGCTGCCTGATGCAGCGTCTTGTGCGATCAGATCGGAGTCGTGTGTGGAGAGCTGCTGCTTTGCTCTCTTGCAGTCGGATGAAGCCCATCGTAGCTGCATTCTCCCACGTCTGTTCTGCATTCCTCAGCTGATGTGGTGCCAGCTACATTCCCATTCTAGCACTGTCTTTGGTATGGAAACGACTTTCAGATTCTCACTCTCCCTGCCTCAACTTTTACTAGATTTTCTCAAATCTCTCCATCCAATCATCCACCCTCCACCCACCCATCTGCCCAACCATCCATTTATTCAGCCCCCATCCATATATTTATTTATCATCCATCCTTCCACCCTTTATCCATCAGTCCATTAATTGACCCACCTATCTACCCCTTGATCCAACCATCCATCCAATTACTTATCCATCAGCCAGTCCTCCTCTGTATACCATCCACCGACAACCCATTCCACATCCGTCTAGCCACCTTTGCTTGTCTGTCTGTCCATCTGTCACTCAGCACACATGGTGACAGCACAGGATTGCAGCCCTAGTTGGAGCCCCCGGGGTCTCGGGTCTGTCAGCAGCTGTGGGATGCACACCTGGTGGCAGGAGTGCCAGCCTGGGGTCCTGCGCCACCTGTGGCTGTGACTTATTTCAGAGAACCAGCAAGCCTTGACCCTTGGAATCGAAGATTTTGAGAAAAGGAAGAAATGAAGTTAGGTTGTGGGAGCTAAGCACTGGGCGCCGTCCGGGAGGGGAGTGATTCGTGAAGACACTAGCCTGAAGGGCAGAGAGAAGGAAGTGCGCCTGGAGATAGCGCAGTGGGTACGCCCTTGCCTTGCACAAAGCCAGGCCTGGTTCCACCCCCGACCCCGCGCCGTATGGTCCCCTGAGCACCACCAGGACTGAGCCCTGCACAGCTGGGCATAACCCCAAAACCAAGTAAAGAAAAAGAAAGGAAGGAAGTGGCCGAGTCTAAAGGGAACCCTTCTCTTTTTTTCTGGTTCTGACACAGCAGGGTTTTGACAGGAACGTTTGTCTCTTCTTTCCTGAGTTTTCCTGTCACCCGTGCACACTGCAGTCCACTTCCACCCTCTGTTCTCCTTTGCTTTTTAATTTTTTTAATTTTTAATTTTTTAATTTTTTTTTTTTGCTTTTGGGATCACACCTGGCTATGCACAGGGGTTACTCCTGGCTCTGCACTCAGGAATTACTCCTGGCGGTGCTCAGGGGACCATATGGGATGCTGGGAATCAAACCTGGGTCAGCCGCGTGCAAGGCAAACGCCCTACCTGCTGTGCTATCTCTCCAGCCCCCCTGCTTTTTTATTTTTATCCAAACATTTATTTCCATTTGAAGTACTTAATGCTTCCCCTGGGTGTTTGTTCATTGCACGCTTCTGTCCCACTGCAAATTTATTCTCAGCGTGGGTTGTACTTCGGTGACTATTTTATTCACCTCTGGTTTCCGAAACAATATATGGCATAAAGTAGATGTTCAGTAAATTTTTTGTTGTAGAAATAAACCTCAGTTCCCATCTCTTACTGGGTTATGTGACTTCTGGAAATTTATTTAGCCATTCAGAATCTTGATTTTTCCTCCTTAGTTAAAAAGCAAAGACATTAGATGAAGTAACATGTGTAAAATGATCCACATAATAAAATGCTGTATTTCCCTGCGTGAGGTCCTTGAGGAAGAGGCGGGGTTTGGAATTCAGAATCGTTCCTCCTTGCCAGAGATGATGAGGGCACGTCCTGCTCCTGCATGCCCCACAGGCTGTGCTGCTTTCTGCGGCAGCGCCGAGGGTCCTCAGTGGCTCCAGAAGATAGTGCAGGAGCGCCCTCCACCCGGCACGTCCTGCCTCACCCAGTTCCAGGCCCGCTGCCCCCATCAGAGGAGTGACAGCGGACTCCCTGCAGCAGTGCTCTGGGACTGTCCCCCCATCTCAACTTCCCCGTGATGGGGGCGTCGCAGGAACTCCTCCGGGCCCACCTGAGGACTTCAGAGCACCTGGCCTGGTCTGTGCTCAAGGAGCAGTGTCGACTCAGTATGGAGCTTGTCATACTCAGGAAGTCAGATTGGCTGGTGGTGGTCATCATTTTTTCAGGTCTCTCAAAAGGAAAAACCTGATTTTAACTTTAATTACCAGAGAAAGACTGTAACAGATTTTTGTTGATGTGGTCATACAAAATTGCCTGTAATCTTAAACAATATCTCCTCCTCTTTTTGTTTTTGGGTCACACCCGGCGATGCTCAGGGCTGACTCCTGGTTCCGCACTCAGGAATCATTCCTGGTGGTGCTCAGGGGACCCTGTGGGATGCTGGGGATGGAACCTGGGTGGGCTCTGTGCCGGGCAAACGCCTTCCCTGCTCCAACCCCTTCTTCTCTTTTCCCTCGTTCATGTACCAAATTAGGAAAGGGGCCACAGGGTCATTCGTTCCAGACTCTGCCTCATTCCGGACTCTGCCGACAGCCCCATGTGCGGCGGTTTTGCAGGCAGTTAGACGCGTCTGTCTCCCGAGCTCAGCAGGCAGGGCCGTAGGTGGGGCCGTGCAGGTCACCTGCCCCTCCTCCCCTCATGACCTTGAGTAGGTCATACCTAGTGCCACCGGTCAACCGTGCTCCCCTGTCCGTGGCTCGTGGTGGGGAGAGGGAGAGGTGGGCATGTGCTATCCGGGCTTTCCTCTCAGAGCTGCTGTCCCACGTGTCCTCGGGGCACGGGCACTTGAATCTGTGCCAGCCCTAGAGGCCATCCTCCCCGGCACGCCCCGAGATGAGGCCAGGAGGATCGCTCCCTCGAGGCCGGACAGCTGCCCCCGGGGACCTCGCCTGTCCAGGATTGCTGTCCTGCAGCTGGAATGCCCCCGGTCTACAAGAAGGACCACACATTGTCTAGTGTCCCGGGTGGGGGAGGGGGCCGCCATTCTGAACACAAAGCCCTCCCAGAAACTCTAGAAGCGGGAGAGCAAAGGCCCAAAGGACACTCCCGGGGGAGCACCTGTCTCTGACCAGGCCAGTGAGCTGGGCTTGTAGGCGAGCGAAGAAGACTCAGGCCCAGAGAGGCCCAGCACAGCACCCTCCTCTCGTTCTTGGTTGTTCTTGGGGGAGGAAAGGGGAAGAACTGGCCGCACGTGCTGGCTGGGGCCTCCGCCTGTGACTTCTCCCTCCGCCTGCCGCCTTAGTGACCACCTCCTTTCTCCACACCGGGCCCGGCCGTCCTTCCCTGGGACAGTCTTGTGGCCACCTCTCCTCATGCCGGGCAGAGGGCAGAGGGATGAACTTACAGCTGAGCAGGGAACAAAGAGAAGAGTCTTGAATGGGAGAACTGTCATTGGGTACCGAGAAAATGATCGAGATGTTTCTGGCTGTATTAAAAACTAGAAATATTACATGAATTTCTTCTGTGAAATTTGCACTCTCACACACTCTCTTGTTCACAGCATAAACAAATGTAGAAATTACTACGAAGTCCTGGGAGTCACGAAAGATGCCGGCGAGGAGGACTTGAAGAGAGCGTATAGGAAGCTGGCTCTGAAGTTTCATCCCGACAAAAACCACGCGCCTGGAGCAACGGATGCCTTTAAAAGTAAAGTCCGCTTTTTAAAAGCAATATTACTAGGCTCTTTCCAGAAGCCTTTTTGCAGTGTCTTAGAGTATTAAGTTCTACCTGGAGTTGGTGTGTTCAAGCCCTGTCTGAGCACTGCCCTCTACGGCCTTAAGACTCGGCTGTTAACTCATAATGAGACGAGCCAAAGCGGCTTCTCTGAACCAGCAACTGTTGGGGCGATCCCCGTGCGTGCTTTCTCACCTACCTCACCCAGGTGTGGTGATGGGGCTGTCCTCCACCATGTCACCTGCGTCATCTAGAAGAAAATACCATTCTTGTGGAATTTTGAGATACTGATGTATTTAGAATTGGGGCATTACCTGAAGTTGCTCTCTGCTCTATTTCTGTCAACTCTGGCCAATTATTGCCATTTTGTATGTAGTTTCAACTCGTGGGTTTGTTTGTTTATTTATTTAAAATCTCCCTGCCCTGAGCATCACCTTGAATTAAAAGCATGACTTTTAATATCAGAAGCACTTCTTTACCCAAAAGCACTCAATGTAGTACATGTCCCACCAATTTTTTTTTTTTTTTAAATTGAAGTGGAAAGCTTACAGGGTTCTCTGTTTGGTTTGATTTTGGTTGTGACTTTGAAGGTCTGGGAACAGAACAGTATTACTGTCAGCTTATGTGGAAAAAAGTTTGAGTATCCCCAGACTCTCAAATGACCTCCAGCTCATGTGAACAGACACTTGCAGATAGAACTGACACTGAGTTTTGGGGAGTGGCCGACAGTGCTGAGAAGCGTGTGGCCGCGAGATCTCACCTGCTGTCACCTCCCAAGTGATTCGGGAGGGTAGGGTCGGCCCACCCCTTCCTCGCTCTGTAACTGCCGTGTGTCAGCCTGGCCCAGCCTGCGTGCCACCTGCCGACACCCCCACGGCGTGGCAAGAAGGGTTGTACTCTCTGTGTCCCTCTGGGGTCTTCTTCTTTGCAAAACTGGACATTTAGGTCTCTCCACATTTACAGGGCGTTTCCTCTCTCCGAGGGCCTGGCTCCAGTGGCAGAGCCAGGAGACTCCCTGAGTCAGCAGGGCCTGAGCCGGGCTTGGTGGACGGGCCACTCCCTCGGGGGATCCAGGGGAGCCCGGGCCGTGACGCACACCCCGGGGCTGTCAGAACCTCCGGCCAGGTCAGCCTGGGTGCTGGAGGCCCACTCACACAGCACATGTTTCTCTTTGAGGTCACCCTGCTTTAGTTTTGAACCGATTATTAGTCTTAGCTTCTAAATTTGGACGGCCAACCAACCCGTTCCTTCTGTGCAGAGACTAGTTTTGTCTGTTGTAGAAAAGGTACATACGGGCGTCTTCCTGAGCCTCTTTTCCTTTTTCTTACAGATATTGACAATCAGTGCTTTTTGTTTTCTCCAAGAATTAAAAAGGAGGACGTAAGTGGTTTAGGGAATTAAATGAGAGAGAAGAGAAGTCATGTGTGTTTTGTGAGCTTTCAGAGGAGGAGGAGGAGGCTCTGGTTGAGGGGCTCAGGCACAGTGACCCCCGAGGTTTACCCCTCTGTCCTCACAGTGAGGGATGGAGGTTTCTCCATGCAGGCGAGAGGATGATTTGCGTCTTGAATGTGTCCTGCAGTTTACATGAATATGTTTAAAACCTTTTTTTTTTTCTGCCTGAGGACTTGTGGAGGCGGTGCAGGGGTAGCTCACAAGCCTGGAATCGGCAGTGCTCTGGGTGTGCTCCCGGGATGGGTCCCTGGCAGAGAGGAATGTTGAGATGAGGCGGGTCCCCCTCCTCAGGTCTGACGTAGGAGCTTCCAGAACACCCCCGTCCGCCTGGTCTTGAAACACATCAAGCTTTTCAGTTAGTGAACAGTGCCCTTACCCTGAGCTTTGGCGGAGTGTAGTCTCTGGGCTCACACGCTTGTGTGTCTGTGAGGACCCCTGAGCCGGTGCCTGCTGGGGGTTGGTCACTTGATGCTTTTAATTGCCCAGCAACTTACTCAGGACAGAGAAGCTGGTTCTACCCCCTGGACTTGTCCTGGTGGGGAAATAAAGTCAAGGATGGCAGGACACCCATTCAGACCAGTAGTTTGTGGCTCACAAAGGACCAACAGATTTCCCGAGGACTCTGGGCGATGGTCATTCCCAATGCCTGATGGGCAGTAGTTTGCGTATAAGGCATTAAATGCATCATTAATTAGGCATCAGAATTATTGCTAGCTGGCTGGGAGACTGGTCACCTCTGTGCACAGACAGGGAAACAGAGGCTCTGAGGAGAGGTGAGCTGGTCTCCCAGGGTCTCCCAGGGTCCGAATGGAACAGAGATGCCCAAGACAAGCAGAAGGAGGAAGAGTGTCTTTATGCTCTTGTAACCGGCAAGCCTCGGAGGCCGGGAAGGAGAAGCACCTCCTCAGGGCAAAAGTGAGCCTGTGATTTGTGCGGGAGACCCCAAGATTGTCCGTCTCCTTCCACCCGGGAGGACACAGCCAATGTCTTTCCCTCACTCCTCACGCTCTGAGGGGCCGCACACCCGAGTCAGACATGACAGAGCGCAGGGCGTGCATGAGGTGGGCAGGAAGGCAGAGGACATGGCCAGCGTGGGGCGTGCGTGAGGTGGACAAGAGGGCAGAGGATGTGGCCAGCTGGGTGCCCAGGCCCACAGTGCAGCTCGGCCCTGAGCTGCTTTTCAGACGAGCAAAGAGGCTCTTTGTGCCCCTTGTATCTTAGACCGGCTGGCAGAGGTGGGTGACTCAGAGTCAACAATGGGCCCAGACAGTCCTGAGGAAGAGCCCGGCGGCCTTGGGACTTGTGCCCAGCCTGTGTGAAGCCCCGAGTTCTGTCCCTGGCACCGCACGGCTTCTTCCTGTCCCAGCACCACAGTGTGTGGCCCTTAGAAAAGCAAAAAATAAAACATAACAACAAAACACCCTGAACAAGATTGATGGAGGGCCAGGGAGGAAGCTCAGTGGTCAGCATCTGGGCACACCCTGGACTTGCCCTGGGCCCCCATCACAGCTGACCCACAGACTTACTTCACTGGTGCAGAGAGAGATGGGCGGGGAGTAAGGGATGGAGGGAAACTTGCAGACCTGGGTCACGTGAGGGCGCATGGCTGCATCAGTGATGCAGTTGGCTTCGTTGCCAGGTGATGGCGGAGTTTCGGCTTTGGTTTGGGGCCACGCCCAGATGTTCTTGGGACTTGCTTCTGCCTCTGTGCTCAGGGATCATTCCTGGCTGGGCTCAGGGCCCTTATAGGGTGCTGGAGAGGGAACCGGGCTTGACACATGCAAGGCAAGTGTCCTGCTTGCTGTTTTGTCTCCTCGGCTCCAGCCAGAGAGATTATGACACACAGGTCAGTCATTTCAAAAAGACAGAACGAGAGGACGTGCCTATGCCAAAGGCAGGATTGCAAAATATAGGAGTTCCAAACACTAGGAAAAGAGACAGCTTTCTGCTTGGAACGTTGAAGACTCATACCTTCCTCTAACAAAAGACAGAGAGCTGAATAGTAGATCAGCAAGAACACAGATTTACACACCACCACTAAACAGAGCCTCACTTCGCCTTGCCACCTGACACCACTGGATGGTTCCTGGGATGCGGAGACAGTTCCACCCGTGAAGTCTTTCTGGAGCAGCGTAGCTGCAGCCCAGCTGTTAACTGTAGAGAGACGAAAGCCGATGTTTATACTTCAAACCGGAGCATGAACATGTACAGCAGTTTAATTTCTAATAGTCCTCAGATGAGAAACAATCCAGATGTCATTTGGGGAAATGGGGCCACAGCCAGGGGGACGGATGGATTGCTGCTCTGCAGAGGAAGGCTATGGCGTGTTCGTCTGTATGGAACCCAGGACATGAGGGACCCAGCCCAGGAGATGGACAGCAGGCAGGGCACTCGCCTTGCATGTGGCCGACTCAGCTTCTGTCCCCAGCAGGCCCTGACTTCCCCCAGGAGTAACCCCTGAGCACGGCCGGCTATGGCCACAACAACCCCCTAGATGCAAAGCCAGCCTTCATTATAGTCAGAGTCTCTGCCCGTCACAGCCCAGAGGGTGGCGGGTTATGAAGGGCCTGACCGATTGGGTCCTCATGCTGGCACCGTGGGTGGGACAGGTGACAGCTCCCCTCTGCAGTGGCGTGTTCCCAGACAGTTTCATTTCTGGGCAGCATTGTACAAGGCGGCCGCACCCCTGTGCCTGGGCCCCTGGGCACCCGAGGAAGGCTGGGGCAGTTGAGTACGCTCTGTCCCCGGGGAGGAGCCCTGGGTGGAGAGCCATGGTGGTTACCTGGCTGTAATTGATTCAGTGGGACTCAGAATCATCCAGAAGCAAACACCTACTGAGCATCTGTTTGCTTGCACAGTAGCTTGTGGCAACCTCACGGGCGCCTCAGTTGCATTTTTAAAATATCCCGTGTTGGAACTGGGGCGATAGCTCAGCAGGGAGGGCATTTGCCTTGCATGCAGCCAACTTGGGTTCGATCCCCGGCATCCCGTATGGTCCCCCGAGCATTGCCAGGAGAGATTCCTGAGTGCAGAGCCAGGAGTAACTGAACATTGCTGGGTATGACCCCAAAAGCAAAAAAAAAAAAAAAAAAAAATTCCGAGTTGCAGGAGCCTTAGACTCTGTTGAAGAAGCGTGTTCCCTTTATGTGGTGATGAATTATTTGAGGTGTCGGAAAGAGAGCAGGGTTCTTCCTGCCTTTAGTTCAAACAGCTCAGCTTTTGTAAATTTCCTCAGCAATATATTTTGGCAGCTGGATTCTAAGGCCCTTCTAGGACACGGGATCATGAGATGGGAAATGGGAGTTTTGAAAGAGATGGTGCAGGTGTGACCCTATAGACATCACAGCGCCACTTTCACTGAAGACCAGTGCCGGTTTGGGTCCCTGGCACCATAGTCGATCCCCTAAACATTTGAAAAATGCAGTTTTTTTTTTTTGAGGGGCCAGCAGTACCGTTGGTAGGTCACTTACCTTGCACATGGCTGACCCGGGTTTGGTCCCCGGCACCCCATGTGGTCCCCTAATCCCGTCAAGAGAGATCTCTGAGTGCAGAGCCAGGAGGAAGCCCAGAGCACCGCCGGGTGTGACCCAAAACAAAAAATAAAAGAATACTTTGAAAGTGGCAGAATAAGAAGGAATCCAAACAAAACACCAACCCCCAAACCAAACTCAAGGGCCAGAGGGAACCGCAGGGGTGAGCTGAGGCCTCCGTGCAGGTCACCCCAGGGTCACCCCCAGCTCCACGGGTCCCCCTGACCACCTCCGGGGAAGCCCCCGAGCACTCGCCCGTTGGTAAAAGAAAAAAAAAAACAGAATAATTAGACGTGTGGAGGGCTGGAGAGAGCGTCGGGGCTGAGACGTGCCATGCCGCCTCTCCACTGTGTGGCTCCTGGGCACCTCCAGGGCTGGTCCCTGAGCAACGCCTGCGTGTCCAGGACTAAAAGGGGGCAGAGTGAGGTCAATGGGATGAGCGGCCATCGCTGTGGGGCAGAGAGGGGCAGTGGGGGGGCACCTGTCCTACACGCACAGGGCAGTCCCACAAGTAATAGGGGAGGACGGCAGTCACCAGAGAGGCCAGAGTCCTGGCAGAAGTGACCCCAAGGGTCTGCGTGGCTGTGCGTGAGGGGCCGGTCCTCTCCGGGCGTGACCGCAGGGCTGCCCTCCTCCCCAGCCTGTCTGAGAAGAGGCACAGGGGCAGGCGACCCGGGGGTCCGTGGGTCCCGGGAGGCGGCCTCTGCTTCCCCGAGCAGCCCTGTGCTGGGCGGCCACGCAATGCTGCCTTTCGGGGGGGCGGCCTGGCGGGGGGATAGCCTTGTGGGGGTCACTGCCTGGCGGGGCCCTGCCCGCAGCCTGTGAGTCGCTCCCCTTCCAGAGATCGGGAACGCGTATGCTGTGCTGAGCAACCCCGAGAAGCGGAAACAGTATGACCTCACGGGTGGCGAGGAGCAGGCCTGTGGCCAGAGCAACGGCAGGTTCGACTTCCACCGAGGCTGCGAGGCCGACATCACCCCCGAGGACCTGTTCAACATCTTCTTCGGGGGCGGCTTCCCCTCGGGTACGTACGGGCGAGAGGCAGATGGCCAGGTCAGCCCCCCGCTGGCCCCTGGTCTCCTCTCCTCCCTTGTGTGGCGAACTTGGCCTTGCCCTTGCCCAGTGGCTGGACCGCTGTGCTTGCTCATCCCGCCCTGGCTGAGGTGGGCACCCACTGTCTCTGCCCCGAGGGGATCATGCTGGCCCAGCCCCGTTGGCAGAGGCTAGGGTGGGGCCAGGGATGGATGTGGCCTCAGGCTTCCAGGTTCTCCCTCTTCCTTGAGTGTGTCAGTCACATAGGAGAGAGGCCGGGGAGGGCGTCCAGTTGACCAGGCACTGGTCTTGGCGGCCACAGGCCCCGAGTCACCCCCAGAAGTGACCCCAGTGCACAGAGCCCCTGAGCTGCACAGCGAAACAGAACAGAGCGAAAGGGCTTCTGCTTCTTCCATACAGCCTGGGCCCCTGTCCCTGCCCTGCCCGCCACCCTGAGAGACAAGGGCTGCTTCAGTGACCAGGAGGCCAGGTGGGGACCCGGGGAGCCGCTCAGCGGCCTGGAACACACCACACGCATGTGTCCTGGGCTCAGGCACCATCTGTGCCCGCACGGCCCCTGCAGCCCTGCTGGCCGCGGTTCCCAGCGCCATCCAGCTGCAGTTCCGGGAGCCCCACAGACTGGGAGAGGGACCCTGGTGCCACAGCAGCAGCAGTGAATGGCAAAGGGAGGGCGGGGGCCACCGGGGACCCTCGGAAGCAACACCCGGCCATCACAGTGACTTCCTCTGACCTGGCCCTGCTTTGGTTTTCCAGGGAGCGTACACTCGTTTTCCAACGGGCGAGCTGGGTTTAGCCACCAACATCAGCACCGACACAGTGGCCACGAGCGGGAAGAAGAAAGAGGAGATGTACGTCTCACTGAGTTCAGAACCCCTCCCCTCACACCCATCCCCGCCCAGCTGTGTGGGGGCTACGCAGAGTAGGGGGTCGAGAAGGAGGCCAGGGGTTGTGGCGCCAGGAATGAGGAAAGTCCCTTTTCCGGGCACACTGGGGTCTTGGGCAGAGGCCGGGTGGGGTGGGGCGGGGTGGACCCACATTCGGTTGACCTGGGGGACTGGCGCTAATGCAGGATGCGTTGGATGGAGCCTGGGGAGCAGCCGCCAGCAGAGATGGGGTGCGGGCCCACGGCGAGTGCTCGGCCAGGCTCTGTCCTGCAGGTCCCCGAGGGGAAAGTGAGGCGCGGCCACGCTCCCAGCCGGCCCAGCCTCAGGGAAGCAGGTGCCCGGGCCCGTCTGCCCGCCCAGAGCTGGTGAGGCAGTGGCATGTCTGGCACGGCTCGCTATCGGGCGCCTCTGTTTGTTCCCCAGGGGGGCTTCTCTGTGTTCATCCAGTTGATGCCCATCATCGTGCTGATCCTCGTGTCCCTGCTGAGCCAGTTGATGGTCTCCAACCCTCCGTACTCCCTCTACCCCAGACCGTAAGTCGCCAGTGGCTTCCTCAGGCCGTGATCCCTGCTGCTTCTGGCTGGCTTTTCCCTTGAAGACTGTGTGTGCTTTTTAAAATCATACATGCCCAAACTTGTATTCGAGCAGCTTCTCCAGAAATCTGAATCTTTCAGAAAGGAATTACCCGAGCGGTTTATTGAGCCTGGAGTTGCTCGCTCATGTCTGCCTCACTGCGATCAGCCTTTTATCGGATAGCGATTTAGTGCGGGAGGTACTTGTCGGCAGTGAAGGCACAGAGCACTCGAAAGATAAAAGCGGGAGGAAAGAAAAAGAAAGATAAAAAGCATAAGCAGGATTTTACACACACTTGTTTCATCAGTGTAACTTCACTCTTTTATAAAACATCGTTTAGATTAAAGCAAATGCTTTTTTTTTTTTTTTTTGGTTATAGGAAGTACTTTCCACAGTATATCTTATATATAAGAGATCAGGACATAAGGAAATTTAAAACAGCACCAACCTCGAGAATTCAGGGCTGGCGGGTGAGAGGAAGCACAGCAGCTACACTGGGCTCACGTGCACGTGACCCCGGTGACTTCCTGCTCCATACAGGGTCTCCTGAGCTTGCCGCTGTGACCTCTGAGCACCCCATTCGGTGTGGCTCAAATCCAAAAAACCAGAAACCCCAAGACCTAAGAACTTCAGTGTAAAACAGTGGAAATATAAAAATCAATAATTTTCTAGTATTTAAGATAGATTGGTCTAAAAATAAGAAATAATTAACTTTTCTTCCAAATAGAAATTTTATTGATTGAAAAATAGAGAGATCTTGGGGCTGGACAATAGCACAGCGGGTAGGGCATTTGCCTAGCACACGGCTGACCCAGGTTCGATTCCCAGCATCCCATATGGTCCCCTGAGCACCACCAGGAGTAAGTGCATGAGCCAGGAGTAATCCCTGTACATTGCCTGGTGTGACCCAAAAAGCAAAAAATAAATAAGTAAATAAATAAAAAATAAAAACTATATAGATCTTTATAAAAACATTACATATGAATATATGATAATGACATGGAGCAATAGCATAGTGGGTAGGGCATTTGCCTTGCACGCAGCCAACCCGGGTTCGATTCCTTCGCTCCTCTTGGAGAGCCTGGCAAGCTACCGAGAGTATTCCACCCGCACAGCAAAGCCTGGCAAGCTACCTGTGACGTATTTGATATGCCAGAAACAGTAACAACAAAGTCTCACGATGGAGACATTACTGGTTCCCACTCAAGCAAATCAATGGACAATGGGAGGACAGTGACAGTGACAATGACATGGCTTGTAGTTTTAGGCAATTTCAGCATGGGTTCAGAATAACATCAAACTTTTTTTTTTTTTTTTGCAGTGGATCAGGGCAAACTATTAAAATGCAAACAGAAAACTTGGGTGTTGTTTATTATGTCAACAAGGACTTTAAAAGTGAATATAAAGGAGTGTTATTACAAAAGATAGAGAAGAACGTGGAAGAAGATTATGTGACCAATATTCGAAATAATTGCTGGAAAGAGAGACAGCAGAGTAAGTTTCTCAAGTGGTCATCCTTCGAAGGGCTACTCTGTTTTTGGAATGGGCCCAGGGAGAAGGTGTGGAGGGCTGGAGGGGCTTTGCTTGTGGGCACCCGGGGAGCCTGGTTCCACACTCGCCCAAGCACTGAGTGTGCCCCTTCCCACCAAACCAACCAATGAGAAGAAGAACAAAGGCGTCAAAATTGATAGGTGCAGATTTCCCTGCTTCAGTGACTATTCTAGAATTCCTGCCACCTTAACTCAGTACTTTGACTGTATATTTTAAGATACTTGTGACCTAACGCCGTATTTGACATAGAACAAAGACTTAAGTGGTATTGTGTTATTGTTATTGATACATATTTGTTTGGATAAGCATTAGCAAATATGTATTTAAGATGTTGTCAGTTGGGGCTGTGGAGATGGCTCAAAGGAGGAGGTCTGGTCTGATCCCGGCACTGGTCTCCGCTCCCTGAGCACAGACCTCGGAGTAGATCCTGAGCACCTCTGGCTTTGAAGCCCCCAATACAATCATGTCAGTCATAATATGCATCATTATTTTAAGGACCACTAATAGAGTAAAAAAATCCCAACACATAAACTATGTCATCAGTTTTCATATACGTTTCCTGTTATAGAAACTCTTTGTTAACTTAGCCTGAACGTTTAGCATTTAATGTACAATGAGGGTTTTTTTTTTTTTGGCTTTTTTTGGGGTCACACCCAGCGATGCACAGGGGTTACTCTTGGCTCTGCACTCAGGAATTAGTCCTGGCGGTGCTCAGGGGACCAAATGGGATGCTGGGAATCAAACCCGGGTTGACCGCATGCGAGGCAAACACCCTACCCACTGTGCTATTGCTCCAGCCCCTGTACAATGAGTTTTGTTGATGCTGCATTTTCCTTTATTTTTTCTGTACGTAGAGCAGACCTTGGGAACGCTTAATTTGTTTGGCCTTTTCCAGCTCCTTACTTTATGAAGCTTCCTAAAGAAATTGACCTTCAGAATCTGCTGAGAGCTATTGATACTTATATTAATACATGTGAGCTATTGTCAGGGCTACTGTTTTTTTCTGGCTCTAACAAATAACATAGTGTATCATTTTGGAACTGTATGGAACACTAAAATTGAAGCCCTGCTTGGAAGTTTTCAGCTGAATATGTAAGACTAGATGCTCTAACCTGTAAATTTGTTCCCTCATGCATAAGGATGAGAAGGATGGTGAGGAGGGAAAACTTCCCTTCCTATAATGCTGGTGGTTTCAGTCCTTGTGTCGCGGGCTTTGCACAGATCAACACTTTTGATCTTGGTGACAGCCCCGTTCCACGTCAAAGGGAGCTGGCTTAGCCAGGGCCGAGGCGCTCTCTGCGTTCTCAGTAGCACCTGCCGTGGAAATGGGACCAGGCACGGACGGTTTTGCTTGCATGCTAATGGCATCCGCCATGGTTCCTGGCTTTCATCCTTCAGGAGAACCGGAGGAAACGTGACCTTTTCTCTGCTGTGGGCTTGCTGACCTGTGCAAGACGGGTTGGCAGACATGACCTCCGTGTTTGAGAGTGCCCAGACTGTGACTGCGGCTGGTTTCTCCATGTGGAAAGGGCTACCCAGGACTAGGGGATGTCCAGAGGGAAGGGTCCGATCCCTTCTCCCCTCAGGACAACGAGTAGCTGGTGGGATTTGCATGTGGATTCTGAGATAGTGTTGCAGCACGTTTGAGTTTCGGATTCTGAAAGTCATGTTCTGGTTGTATCGAAGAAGGCGCTTGTTGCCGGACTTGGGGTCGAAGGTCAGGGTGCTGGTGAGAGTAAGTGACGCCACTTTCGTTGTACAGGGCACTAGAGCACAGCTTGTGGCTATTGATCCCTCGCAGGGAGGGTCCAGCGGTCAGGGCACTGTTGGAAATACGGGGCTTCGTAAGTAAGACTCAGCAAACTCAGCACATCTGTCGGTTGGGGTTTGGACTGCTTGTGGCCGGAGAAGCTCCCAAAGTCGCTTTAGCCGCTGGTTGTTCACTTGCTGATTAGGACAGAATCATCTCGTTCCACGTGGGGATGTCATGCTTACGGCCTGAGGTAGTTCTAAAGCTCTCCTGGGTGGGAAACTGCATGTGAGTCTCACTGGTGTCCTGCACTCGGAACACCTTCCTGGAAAGGAGCTCCCTCTTCCCTCTCTGTACCTCCCACTAAGTGCACCCTAATTTCTATTTATTTGTATGTGCTGTGGGGGCGGGGGGGTGTTTGGGCCACACCTGGCTCGGGAGACGGTGTGGTGCCAGGAGTTGAACTAGGGTCACGTGCATGCAAGGTCGTCCCTTATCCCCTGTACTTTGTCTCCAGGCTGCTTTTTCTGGAGGGTCGGGGGCAGCACCACCTGCGCTGTTGGAGGTGGGGGACCAGGTGCCACGTGGCCTGGGGATCTAAACTCGCCCGGCCACCCAAGCCACGCCTGACTCGGCGGCCTGTGCTCTCTCCCAGAAACGGACATGCAGTACGCAGCGAAGGTGTACCGGGATGACCGGCTCCGGAGGAAGGCAGACGCCCTGAGCATGGAGAACTGCAAGGAGCTAGAGCGGCTGACCAGCATCTACAAGGGAGGCTGAGGGCAGGCCCGTCCGTGCTCCGCGTCGAGCCGCATCGCGAGCGCCAGCAGGAGAGACCAGCTCTGCACACCCGCACCCAGCAGGCCCCCGGGCCTCGGACGTGTCTGACCTACTGACTCCTTTAATTAGTAAGAAACTGGAAGTGAAATCAATATTTTAGTGATGCCTCCGCTATTACTTTCCACTCTAAAAGCTTCTCTGATTAACGGTCTAAACTGCCTCAGCGAGGACCCGCAGCTGTTCCCGTGTAGGGACCTTCCATCTCTTCCCCTGTCCTGTAAATACTCACGGAATGATCATTTTGTGTACATATAGGTTCTCATTTTTTAAAATTTAGATTCTTTTAGTGTTTAGAGATTGGAGACGCTTTAAGTTTCGATTAATGGAATAAATGTACGATGACAAAAGTGCTTTTTTCTCGTCAGCTGTTGAGTGTGTGGCGTTTAAACACGAACCTTTTCCAACAAGAAAATGGAAAACAAAAGCTGTTTAACTGTGTAAAATCTTGTAGCATTATCAACTTAGAGGGAATCGATATTTTTAATATTGCCATTATATTCCAGAATATATATTGAGATAAAAGAACTGGTGTATGCGATCAGTTTGCTATTTATTTAGTTTTTATGAATTGCTAATCCGTGCAGAGAAATGAAGTGCTGGCTTGAATGACCCGGAGGAGAGGGCTGTCTTGGTAGTGACCTGAGGGTCCTCAGCACTGAATCCCATCAGCGTCATGTGCAGTTCTGGGCCTGAGAGACCCCCAAATGGACTGTGTATTGTCTTAGAAGGCTGCCGTGGTCTCCTTGCCTCCACTCCCCACAGAAATGTGTAGCTTTCGTCAAGGCTGAGGTCAGCGGTGTGAATGGGCTTTCTCCACCAAACGGTGAAAAGTGCTCCTCCACGAAGCTCGTGCCTTTAGCCTGCTCCCCAGGTCAGCCCCTGAGCAGAGAGGGGCACAGCCCTGGGGCAGCGCAGGGGGTGGGGGGTGGTTTCTGCCCCGGCCCTCCCCGCAGCGGGAGCTAGACTCTCACTCACCGTGACGATTTCCTCCGATGCTGTAGGGACAAGCTCCGTGGAGTGGGATTCATGAGAGAAGTGAGAGAAGCCCGTGGGAACGCACGTTCTGGGTGTCTGTGTAAGTGTGGGGCTTTTGGAATCCCAGGTCCTTGTGTTCAGCATTTACACTCTGAGTGCTTCTGCTCTGGATTCACCTAACAGGATGAGAGTACATGTCCGGTTGTCCTCTGTGTGACAGTGGTGGTGTGACTATGCTTTTTTGTTTAATGATTTTTTTTTTCTGAATACGGTTGATTTACAGTATCTGTTGAACCAAGCTGCCAAAATGACCATTCTTTTTCGAAGGTTTTCTTGTGGGCAGGAGAGAATGTACAGAGGTTAAGGTGCTTGTCTTGTGTGAGGCTGACCCCAGTTGAATCCCCAGCACTGCTTAGGGTCCCTGGGGCCCTACCAGGAGTTATCTCTGAGCACTGAGCCAGTGGGGCACTGCCCGGTGGGGGCCCAAAATAAAACAAACCAAAAAATGATTTTCTTGTATCCCCTTGTTCTGAGTAGAAATGCCTAATTGAATTAGTGGGTTAAATGAAATGATACACTGTACCAGAATTAATGGACAATTAACCAAATCTGCTTTAGAGATGGGATCTTAAAAACAACAGCTGTGCTTAAAAGGAAATGTGATGTCAAATGCTTCTTGAGCCTGTAGATTGAGGTGTTTTTTTTTGTTTTGTTTTGTTTTGTTTTATTTTTAAAGCGCATAGCATTCTTGGTTGATTTGTTGATTTGTTTCCCCCACCCTTTTTTGGGGAGGGGGTAACTTCTCCCTTCTTGGTACTGGGAATCCCTCCTGCCCTGCTCAGGGATCGTACTGGGGCTTCTAAATCAAAGCAGGTGCCTTCCTACCCAGCGACTTCACAAGCTCATACACATCAAAACAGGGAGAGATGGAAACAAAACTCTTCAACCACTTATTTTTCCAGTTTTAGTGGGAAATTCACACTACTGTGGAGATTCTTATGTGAATTGATGGATCCTTTTCCCTTAATCCTGGCTTAAGGGGACCCATGATGTTATCAAGTTAAGTGAGTCCCGAGAGATGAAGTCTTACTTGCTTACTTGAACAGTATTATATTCCAGTTGATTCTCTGCGTTGCATTCCATTTCACAAAATGTTGGAGGAAATGCTTAGGTGAAACAACATTTTCAAACTGCTTTGGGGAATGACTGCTGTGCCTGTAATTTAAATCATGTAGGAAGTAGCAGATGAAGATCGGGTCCTGCATGGCACCCTGTAACTGGTGGGATGACCCCGCTTAGTGTCTTGGAATTCTGGGTTGATTCCACAAACTAAAAAAACTCGCCACCTAGAGATATAAGATCTTCAGATTTGCTACTCTTAGAACAAGAATTCCAACATTCTGCCACCCTATTTTTAGCTATATGTGAGCTTTGTAGTTTCATTTGATAATTTGTGCTGCTCTTTTTAAGTATTGCCTGAAAGCCTTTTACCATCTCTTATCTAGAGTCTCTAAGTGGTGTTCCGGTAGTTTGGCTGTAATTACATTTATTAACCCTTAACGGTTTCATTTCTTTTACTCATACAAACATCATCATCCATGTGAGGGTTGGGGGAAAGGAGATGGTAGCTTGTTTGATCCCTTCATTCTCAAATAGATTGGTGCTAAGCATTTTGATCAAATTCATTTTGATCAAATCTGAGAATTCTCAACAATGAGGAGTTTCAGGTTATAATTCGTCTTAGAAGTAAAAATAATTTTGGGGAGCAGAGTGCATGTGACTGCTTTAAGTATTTGTTTCATAATCATTGTATGCTTATTTCTGATTTACAAGGATTTGATAAAGTACATTCTCTGGCATTTATATGCTAGTGCACTGAGCCATTTCGCTTTTATGCCTGCTTAAGTGTTGGCACAAACAGGAATATAGAAATCCAGCCCGGGGGACTCAAATTCCTCTTTTTGCCCCAGTTTTCTTCCTGTTTAAATCTTCAATTATGCTAATAAGTAAAATAGGTACTGTACTGATTAATCTTTTGATTTCCCCTTGTTGATCTCTAATATTTTAACACACTGCTGCTATTAAACAAGTAGAACCTGTTAGGATTGTCTAATAATTCATTCAGATGAATTCCCCTAGAAAGCATGAATTCCCCCTTCTACCTGTGTTAAGGAGGGAGTGAATTAGCTTGCTGTTGGCATGAGGACTGATAGAAGCAACTTTCTGGTTAAGAAAGTATTATAGCAGAGGACGGATGGCTCAGAGGAGAACTTGGGTGTGTATCTCGCTTTCCCTGGTGCAGCTGGGGTCGGTGCTCTGCCTCTGTTTGTCTTCAGACTGAGTGCAGCAGATTGAAAGGACATTCATAATCTCCTTTCTGATCAGGATAGAACAACTTCTGTGATGAATTACAAATCTAAATTTAATATTTACTGGATAGCTGAAAAACTTTGCCTACTGGCCCCGGTGGGTTAGAGCTTAGTTCAAGGCCATGGTATTCGTTATGGACCAGTGGAAAACAGTAGTCTGACATTAGCTTCCAGATTTTCCTTAATTCTGATTTTAATTACAAAGAAAAAGTGGGTAAAATGAGGACCCTTTAAAGAATTCTTGCACACACCTTTAATAATAAGCTAACACTGTCCTAGAATTCAGTTTTCTGTTTTAGTTTCATTACTATTAAATAGACACTTTCATATAAATGAAAATGCTTTGCCTCAAAACATACTCCTTATATTAAGGATTATGTAACCACATTTCTTTGTAAATCCCTGAGTATAACTTTCCTGTTGGTATGTGATTCCTTTTCATTTAATTTTATTATCTGCTGGTTTGGGGGCCAATAGACTTGTGAATATTCCACGGTGTGCCGGTGTATAGTTGTATATATATTTTTCTCCAGCTAATACCTCAAATGTGTGATTGTTTAATATAGACCACACTATGTTTGCACAGAGTAGGGCTTCCATTAGCAGTGGATATTTTCATTTCTAACTTTAAAAATCAGTTCCATAATTTCCTGCTTCTAAATTCTTTCTGTTGATCTTTTTTTCCTATCTCAAGAGGTTATTATTATAAGGTCAGTGAATCAAGTCTAATAATCTTTCTATAACTAGCAGTTTGGAAATATGTCATGGTAAGAAGTGTTTCTTGAGGTGTCCCATTTGAGTAAATCATCATGAACAACCGGTATTACCAGCTGCCGAGGTCTCTGGCCACTCCGAGCTGAGGGTGCCAGGCACAAATGCCACAAATCTGAGACATTTCAGTATAGAATTCAACACACCCTGAGCTGATACTGAACTGGGGCTATGGGAGAACCCCACAAGGAACAGTTTTCAATAATGTTGGAGTGTTTCCAGTCAACTTAAAAAAGTGAGTTGTTTTTTATTTGAATTCTGAGGGAGCACTGAAATAATACTTTGTGATTTATTTGCATTAAGAAATGCTTCTTACCTGTGTGTGTGTGTGTGTGTGAGTGTGTGTGGGTGTGGGTGTGGGTGTGTTTTGAGTTGCTACATAAGAGTTTCCATTTACAGTTTAAATCCTGATTTTAAAAGCTAAAGATCATTTTCAAGGTGATGGAATTTTAATGGAAGCCTTGTATAAGTGAAGTGAAACTGATGGAGATCTTACTTTGTCTGTAATGCATTCAAGATTATACAGTTAGATTTTAAAAATGAAATGTCTGGTTTGTAAAATATTTAATGTTATGTCAGACTTATATATAATAAAATTTACTGTGTGAGAACTCTGTTAAAGAAAATGCATTTGATTTTTAATGAATGTCCTGCTGAATGACTTACGAATTTTTGTCTTTCAGTCCCTTCAGTTTTCTTAATATATGAATAAAGAGAAGGTATGTTCTCACTGTAAAGAGTCGATTTATTATTTTTTAATTGAGATAAACTTAGTTTGTATCATTGTATCTGTTTAAGTGCTTTTCTCGTGTAGAAGTCAGTGGTCCCTTTATGTTATATATTCTTAATATGCCCCATTCTTTCACTCATTCAACCTTTTAACAGATGTATGCGCCTGAGTGGTTAAAGACGGTGGCCCTCTTGCAGTTTTCATCCAATGAGGAAAGTTAAATGTCAAGTAAGTCAGGCGGTCGCTGGAAAGAAGCCCCAGGGAAGTGCAGATCTGGAGGACCAGCCTACTCTGGGAGCACCTGGAAGCTTTTGAAGAATATATATATATATACACACACATATATACATATTTTTTTTTGCTTTTTTTTTGGGGGGGGGGCCACACCCAGCAATGCTCAGGGCTGACTCCTGGCTCTGCACTCAGAAATTACTCCTGGCGGTGCTCAGGGGACCATATGGGATGCTGGGAATCAAACCTGGGTCAGCCTCATACAAGGCACACACCCTACCCGCTGTGCTATCTCTCTGGCCCCAAAGAAATATTTTAGGTAGAGTGAAAAGTTGATAAAATTGTAGAACTTCATGGAAGGGAAAATAGATCTGTTTGATCACAGTATTTGGAAGCCAGGCTATGTTGGAGAACTGAAATAAGGCGGCGACCAGAACCAAAAGAACATGTATAAATCCTGCTGATGGTGAACTGGAAGTCACCATGAAAACCTTTTGAGATTTTTTTCCCTTGTGTTCAGTTGTCGTGCCAGAGATCAAACCAGGTGCTGTTCCATGGAGTCATATATACCAGGTCAGAAAACCTCTTGGTATTTCTATGGGGGGGAGTTTCCAGAGAAGGTCTGAGTTATTAATATCCACTTGGTTGCTGTGAGGAGGGCAGGGATGAGAAGTCATGTCAGAGGGGAAATGCTCCTGACTCGGACTAGAGCCCTGATGCAGGCTAGAGAATGAGTCTCCATGCAGTTTGGGAGTGAACTAAACTCTCAGATCAACTGAATTTGGAATTTGGGGTAGAAATGCTAATTGCTTAAAAAGAGATATCGAAGGAAGGCTCTTATATTATTTTTTTTTTCTTTTTGGGTCTCACCCAGCGATGCACAGGGGTTACTCCTGGCTCTGCACTCAGGAGTTACTCCTGGCGGTGCTCAGGGGACCATATGGGATGCTGGGAATCAAACCTGGGTCGGTTGCATTCAAGGCAAATGCCCTACCTGCTGTGCTATCTCTCCAACCCCTCTTATTTAAAATTTTTAATTTATTAATGAGGTCTATTCGAGCAATGAGGTCTATTCATTGCACAAGGGACCTTACTAACTTTATTAGGATAGGAAGGGGCAAGTAGATAGTAAAAGTAATACAGAGGAAGAGAAATTATAGCTGTTAGTATCTGTTTACCTAAAAGATCCAGGACCCCACAACAAACATGGAAGGATTACTCTGTGAATTCCAAGGAGGAACCGCAGGACATGTGTGAGACGCAGGTACAATGGGATTGGCGTGCTGCGTGGTGGGCATCTTCTTGATGGAAGTTTATCTGTATACAGTAGGGCGGAGGGGACAAACACGAAGCTTAGAAATCATGAAGAAAGTCCACCCTGAGCCCTCCAGATCTCTGCAGCGGGAGCCCAAGGATGAAGATGTCTGAAGAGATTGTTCTCACGAGCTGGCTAGCGGGAGAGGCGGGTTCCTGGAAAGCTGGGTAGGCACATGCTTGGCATGTGTGAGGCCCTGGCTTCACACATGCAAATCCCTGGCACAACAAGCAAAGCAGAATTCCTACATGACAGGCCGGGAGACCTGTTCGGTGAAAAGTAGCCTTTCAAAAAGCTAAAATTTCTTGTTAAGAGTACCTACTGTCATTGCCTCTGCACCTGCAGGTGTTTAATAAAGGGGGTAACAGGAAGTTTTAATCAGGGCTAGGATTAATGGTGTCTTTTAATCATATTTGTTCAATAAAGTTGAATGAACACTGAGTACAGAACTCAGGAATTTTAAGTGGACATGAGGCAAACACATTGGTGGCACATAATCAGACACTGGTCAACAATCCTTGGTTGTACACAGCATCCACACAGCACCTGCAGTGGGAAGGGAAGGTCAGGGTCAGGCGCGCGACAAGGCCCAGGACGTGCCTCCGCAGACCCTGCCCCGCTGAGGCCCCAGCAGAGCCCCCCACGCCCCTCTACCTGGGACAGACTCAGTCTCACGAGGAAAGCGGGTCAGGGCTTTGTCACCGAGCTGGGCCGGGTCAGAAAGGCGAAAGGCTCACACTAAGCAGCTTCCTTTGCTTTCCTGACCGGCTCCCGTGGTGACCGGCTTGTGGCCTTATGAGAAGGATGCTCGGAACCTAACGGAACCTCTGGGTCATTTTCCTTATGAAGACCCCCATGGTTTAGGAAAGCTGTTCAGTAAAACTTTTCCTCCAGCTAAAACTGTCCGCGGGGCTGGCTGGGGACTCTGGTTTAGGGACGGTCAGCCTCCCTGCAACAATGTATCGAGAGGACGCTGACTTAGGGACTGCCAGCCTCCCTGCAACAATGTGTCGCGTCTTCATTAAAGACTCGGCACCGCGACCTCAGTTTCCAGGACGGGGTTTCTGGGCGTCCGCCCCCCGCCCAGGCCCTGCTCAGGGCGCGCCTCGTGTCCCCGTGGGCCTGGCACAGCGTTACCGCGGGGCTTCGCGCCCTCGCTCGCCCGGCCCCGCGCCCCCTGGGTGCCGCCGGGCCGGGCCGCGCGGGCGCCCGTCCGCCCACAGGACGCCGAGGGCGCTGGCCCGGGGGCAGCGCGGACCGGTCTGGGCGTGCGGAGGGGGCTCAGCTTCCCGCTCTCCGGCCGGGACTGCAGACAGCAACAGGAACTGCGGGGAAGACGCCCACCCGGGGGGAACCGGCCGACGTCAGCGCCCGGCGCCCCCGCGCTCTGCGCAGGCGCGGGGCGGGGCCCGGGGGCGGGCCGGGACTAATGCAGGGGGCGGGGTCGGGTATGGGGCGGTGCCTAAGGCTGGGGGCGTGCCCGGGAGGCGTTTCCGGGGCGCTCACCGGAAGGTCCCGTCGGCGGAAGTGCGAGGCCGGGGGCGTTTCCGGAAGTGCGGGGGCGGGCCCGCGTCCCGTGGCCTGGACTTCCGGCCGGCCGGTAGCTGACTGCGAGCTGTTCACCGCGGGTCCGAGTGGCGCAGTGCGGCCGGGGCCTTGCGGGGCCTTGCGGGGCGGCCATGGCGGACGTGAGTGGGCGCCGGGGGCGGGCGGGGGTCGGGGACGGGTCGTGGTCGGGGCGGAGCCGGCGTCCGGGTCGGGCCAAGGCGGGCCGGGGCGCCCGGTGACCGTGGGGCCCGGGTCAGCAGTGCGTGACCCGCGTGTCGAGCCCGTCCCGCCTCCGCGCGTGGACAGGCCGGGGCCGTGGGGTCCCTGCGCGTGGGTAATCCCGGGGAGCTCCCCGGCTCTGCGGCTGGCGTCTGGTGGTCGCGCCCGAGCGTGGCTGCCCATGGCCGTGGGGCAGGACGGGAGGGGCCGTGGCCGGGCCTGTGCGCCCCGAGCGCGCAGCCCCGCTGACCCCCGACTGTCCACACGGGTCCGGGGGCCGAGGGGCGCCCACGGCTGGGCGCGGCCGCCGGGACAGGGACAGGACGTCTGCGGCCCTGACTCCCAAGTGCTGTCAGAGTGACAAGTGGGAAGTTCGTGTCATTCACAGGACACCAAAGTAAAAAGAAAAATGGGTTGGTAGAACCACTCGTGGGGCTCGGCGTGATAAACGGGGTCCCACGAAGCCGTTGAGGGAGTTTCCTGTGTTTAAGGTGACCACAGGGCAAGCAGGGTGGGCATCCGGGCCTGGGGGGAGGGGGGGTAGTGGCCCGCCGCTGTCGTTTGCTGCTTGACAGCTACGATGCTATTGATACTCTGCACAGGAGGTGAGACGGAATAGAGTCCGATTTCTTTAGTCCCAGCTGTGTTCTATGCGGTTGCCCTGACCCGCGGTTGGTCTGCGAGGAAATGACCCTCAGCAGTGAATCGACTTCTGGTTGGTTGAGAAAGTCCATAGGCTTGGGGAAACATTCCTGCATGGGTTGCAGGGGAACACAACAGTAGGACAACATATAAGATAAACAGTCTGATCTAGTTACAGTTAACTTGTGTGTTTTCTACTTCTGAAGCATGCAGCTGCGGCACAGGGGTCTTCCCAGTGAACCCTCACAGGCTTACAGCCCAGGTTCTCTGTTCTGCTCTTTGGCAGCTAACGAAACCGGGGCTTAGTGGAAAAGGTCAGCCATGCAATTCATAAATACCAAAATCAGAAAAGAGCAGCGTGAAATTCAGGCTTAAGGAGATTTCTAGGAGGCAGAGACAGTGCCCTGGGAAGGCACTTGCCTTCATTGTGGCCGGCTGGGTTCAGTCTCTGGGACCCAGTATTTGTTCCCTGCCAGGTGTGATCTTTGAGCACAGAACTAGGAGTAAACCCTGAGCATCAGATGTGGCCCAGTTTTTTTTTCTTTAAGTTTTGAATGATGATATAAGGTATTTGAAATGTGGTCAGGACAGCATTGAGGGAATCCATAATGTTTTCTTTTTCTCTTTCAGGATCTAAAGCGATTCCTGTATAAAAAATTACCAAGGTAAGAGATGAAACATTGGTAATTAAATTCCACATGACCGCTAGTTGTATGTGGCATTTTGTTCCTTGTGTGATTTGGACTACATTGTGGTTGTGTTTCGGGGATGTTACTGGCACCTTCAGACACCAGACCCTGAGCCCTAGTGTAGTGGGAGGCACTTGGTTTGCATGGGGCTGGCATGGGCTCATTCCCGGAGCCCCTTGGGGAGTGATCCCTGAGCACCACCAGGTGCGGCTCCCAAACCCAAACTCAAACCAAATACCTAAGGCCGGGAGCAGCTATGGTTTCTTTTGAACGTACAGATAAACCGGGAGTTTGCAGATAATAGATTCTTGAGAGTTTTTATGGCTTGCCTAAGGTTAGACAGCTGATGGAATGCCGGAGGGATAGATCTTAGATTTCTTATCATTTAAGTTCCTTTTAAATACACTGCTGTATTTTCAGACTGTGTTTCTTTCCGTCCTGCTTTCTGAGGGATCTTTCTGTGTCTGTCCCTCTCCCTCTGACTAACCATTCAGCCTAATACCCTCCAGGTTTATCCACCTAGGATTCAGTTGCGTGGTTTTTAGCCTCTTTTTGGCCAAATGGCTAATTTCTGTTGTGTGTACGTATCACAGTTTCTTTGCCCTTCATCTGTCCTTGGGCACTGGGTTTGCAGATTGGGCTGTTGTGAATAGTGCTGCAGTGAACATAGATACTCAAAGACAGCGAAGTATGTGAGAACTGGCCTTTGTAGGAACAACTGGGAAGGTGGTGGGGGTTGAACCCGAGGAGAACCTTAGGAAGTGGCCACACAGGTGGGGAAGGGGTCCTGGAAGGAGGAAGTCTTGCTGAACCCCACCCGTATGAGCACCGTAAAACCACTGTGGCCAAAGGAACACCAGTGGCCTGCCTCAGAGGAAGACTTTCGGATGGGAAGGAATCGGGTGTTGGAGAGATGTGGGTGCTGGGGAAGGAATGGTGTTGGAGCACGGCCTAAAACCAGTCACAAGTAACTTGGTGTATCAGGTGTCTCGATCAAAAGGAGTTATAAAATAAGCTATTGTAGCAATTTACTGGATTATACTTTGTTTTTGTTTGTTTTCCTTTTTTTGGGAGGGGGGAATCATACCCAGTGATGCTCAGGGGTTATTCCTGGCTCTGCACTCAGGAATTACTCCTGGAAGTGCTTGGGGGACCATATGAGACGCTGGGGATTGAACCCAGGTAGGCTGCGTGCAACGCAAACGCCCTACCCGCTGTACTATTGTTTCAGCCTCTGGATTGTACTTTGAAGAAGAGTCATTTTAAGGGGGGAAACAAGAATTTGCTTTTACTTTGACTATTTCACTATTGCTTTTGAGACCTATTTCTGAGTCTGCATAACCTTAACTACTTGCATAAATTACAAGCTTTCTTTGTGTGTGTGTGTCCACACTTAGCTGTGCTTGGGGATCGCTCCTGGTGGGAATCGGAGGAACACATGTGGTGCCTGGGATCAAATTAGGGTCAGCCACATTGAAGTCTTTTGCTTACTCGCTTTCTATTTGATCTGCCCTTTCTAAGTTAATTTTTTGTGTTGAGGACAGGAAGCCTTGTTACAGATATTTTTTCTGGTTCCAGTGACTTTGTGATTCTAACTGATTGAAAATTTAGTTTGTTTGAGGTGAGGGGAGTAGCTGAGTGCGGGAGTGCCTTCTCTGTAGGTACAAGGCCAGGGAGTGTGACCCCTCACCTCAGCCCGCCACACACCAGCAGTGTGAGCTGGCCAAGAGAGCACAGTCACCCAGCGTGTATGGCCCTGGTGAGTGCAGAAACAGCCGAGGGGAGGGGTTTTCCAGCTTGCTACTGCCACGTGACTCTTCCAGTTGCGCTCCATTGAGGACTAGAACCTGAGAAACTCAGTTTCATGTTCTGGAAAGATGAGGAACCTTGGAGCTAATGGCGTAGAATATGTGGGAAGTTCCTGTTTCCTCACTGTTTGGCGCTGAGCGTTGAACCCGGGACCTCATGTGTGCACGGTAGGCTCCATGCCTTGACTTCATCCCCAGCCCCCTTTTAAAAAATCTCCTATCGCTCCAGATCTGTTTAAAGTTTAGAAGGTTTGGGGCTGGAGCAATAGTACAGCGGGTAGGGCGTTTGTTTTGCATGCGGGCCGACCGAGTTTGATTCCCAGCATCCCATATGGTCCCCTGAGCCCCGCCAGGAGTAATTCCTGAGTGCAGAGCCAGGAGTAACTCCTGTGCATCGCTCGGTGTGACCCAAACAGCAAATAAATAAATAAAGTTTAGAAGGTTTTAGATGTCATTATATTTCTCTAAGTTAGGGTGGGAGGGGATCACTTTTGGATTTTTGTCTGAATTGTTTGGAGTCATTGTTGGCTTGTGTCTTTATTCTGATTACAGATTGCTAGAAAGAATTGATACTTCTGATTTGGGTTTGTGTTTTCTGAGTTTAGGAAGGAAATCTCAGGTTAAAGTGTCAAATAATTGTTACTATTGATTTCGTGTTAATATTTCAGTTCTTAATACTTGCTATGTAATTCTCAATTAAATTCTTAATACTTGGTACTTAAATTTTGCACTTTCTCCTGATGTGGCTTACACATGTGTGCTGGTCCTGTTCCCCTCCCAGAGGTGGGCGGTGTAGTTGTCCAGGCTTGCACCAGGAGTGCTGGTGACAGATGACTGGACAATCCGAAACTGTGATACTGTAACTGGATGTGAGTTTCAAGAGGAATTTTGTGGGCACACAGGAGACAGGAGTGTTCACTGGCCAGGAAACGTTTCCCTAGGCCGGTTCACGGACTGACAGAAGAAGGGCCAGGGGACGGAGAAACTGGACCTGGGCCCCAGGCTGGCCGGCCCATCAGTGGTTGATTTCTCTCTCCTTCCCTACATAGTCGAATCTCTCCCTTCCAGCACAAGCGCAGTTGTAGTTTTGGTCATAGTCCCAGTCATCGTAGTTCCATCATCCTGGTCTCCTCTAGACCTCGGGAAGTCCTCCACTCCTCTTGCCCCTTACAACATAGTTATATAGAAACAGTGAAGGGTGGGATACACAAAGGTGGGGTTGAACATTGTCATTGGAACAGGTGAAGCCACTCCTTCGGGAGATTAACTCAAGGACAAAATCTCATCTGAGGCTTCAGCACAGCAGATTACTAGGAGATCTGCTCAAGGGTATTCCGTCCAGGGTGTATTGCTTTCTCCTTTCCTCAGCTAGTAGTCCACTTAAACAGTTATAGTAAATTTACTTCTTACAATATTTCTAGTCATTTTGTATGAACACAGTAAGAGATATGTTACGTTTAAAGGGTGGCTCTTTCTGGGAACATCTCGCTATATATTCGAGACCACAGTTCTCAGGCCAGGCTAGTCGTTCGTAACTCCAGCAGGGTCCTTATACAGTTACTTCTTTTTGGGTCATGACTGCTCTTATTATACTTACAGTGCTTAGCTTGTCCCCTTTTGATGCCTGGGTAGCTCACAGCTTGCCCTGGGCCCATCCAGTCCCTTCGTTTGGGTGCTAGGAACTAAGGGCAAATGAGGTTTAAGTCAAGTAAATACAGATGCCCAGGAATAAATATTATTTTGGATTCTGTTAACTCCCATGTTACAAAGCATAGCATGAACTTTCTTCCTGTGTCTATACAAAAAGGACATTGCTAAATAAACCATGCAAATGACATAAAGGAAAGAGAAAAGCAAGATAGGATTATTGGTGCCTGGTGGAATTGGGTGTGCCTCAGGGGCACTATTGGGGAGTAAGTCAATAAGCCTAAGCTCCCTTTGGGAGGAGCAAGGACAACCCAATGTTATCCATCCAACATTTGGAAACAGAATTAAGAGTTTCTTTGTAAAAAAAAAAAGACAGTTGTCAATTGACCTTTATCTTCAGAGGAGAAGCGGGGACAGGCTGCTTCTCTCTGTGGCTCAGCTTCCATTTGTCTCATTTTGTGGACACATCCTGTGGAGCTTGGGCTCCTCCTGACTGCTCAGTGTCAGCCTTGTGTGCACGGCCAGCGCCTCATCCCTTTTCATGCTCTCTGGCCCTGCGCCCCAATGTTTGTCCTTTGTACTGAGCGTGTGTGGCGTCTGGGGTCCTGCTCCAGGAAGGCTCCCTTCTTTCCTGCATTTCTAACACAGTTCCCAGCTGCTTGCCGTGGCACCTCAGCTGCAGTCTCTCGTGAGTTTTCCCTTCACCTGCTTCATCATCATTTCCTTTTCTTTGTTGTAGCTCATCTTTGTGAGCCAGAGCAGTATTTCAGTTACTCTTTAAAGAAGTGGAGAGATGGCACAGCGGGTTGGGTGCTTGCCTTGCCTGCAGCCAGCTTGGGTTTGATCACCAGCACCCTATACGGTTCCCGAGCACCGTCAAGGGTGACCCTGAGCACAGCAGTGAGCCCTGAGCTTGGCCAAGTGTGGCCCCAAAACAAAATTAAAAAACCCAAAATAGCTGATGGGGTTTCTCAGAGGAAGAATGGAAGAGCAGCTGTGCTTTAATGTCTTGTGCACTGAGTAGTAGGTACTTGGTGACAGTCTGAGTGCTGTGAAGGAAGGGAATGGGGGTGCTCAGTGCTCAGGACTGTAGGGGAGGGAAATGGGTGTGCTCAAGGCCTGCAGGGGAGGGAGGTGAGGGTGCTCAGTGTTCAGGGCTGTAGGGAGGGAAATGCAGCTGGTGCTTATTGATGGAAGGGTGTGTTAGTCACTGACAAAGTTTGTGAAGTTGAAGTGTGATTACTTCATTGTTTGCACTGCTGCCTGAGGCAGGGGTATTTTGTTCCATTTTTTGTTGTTGTTTTGGGGCCTTGCCCAGCATGCCCAAGGATTACTCCTGGCTCTTCACAGAGGAATTGCTCTCGGCAGTGCTTGGGGGATGTGGGGGATCAAGCCCAGGTAGGCTGTGGGCCAGACCTACCCACCATAGCATCTCTCCAGGGCAGATAACTAAACTGGGTATTGGAACCCAGAGGGGCTTCCTGTAGGTGCTTTTCTCAATCTCTTTGGGCGTCTGTGGCCACTGGGGCGTGGGGTAAGGGAGGGCAATTACACAGAATAGCAGAATAGAAGTAAAGTTAGCATCTGCCATGCCTACAGAACCACAGTGAAACCCTTTCTGCAGCCACGGGAGTTGACAGTTTCAGTAGAGAACCAGCTGTGTGTCTTTGTTCGTTGTGAAAACTGTTTGTGTGAAGATTTCAGACGTCAGGTTCTGTTTCCAGCAGAACTCTCAGATGCTCCCTGGGTTCTCACATGTCAGTGATCGAATGTCCCTTTTCCTTTTCAGTGTGGAAGGACTCCATGCTATCGTCGTGTCAGACCGGGACGGTGTGCCTGTAATCAAAGGTACTTATTTGGTTTCTGGGGGTCTGGGCCGCGCCCAGGATAGCTGCAGACCCTCTCAGCTCTGGCTCCTGATGCCTGGGATGACTCCCTGTGAGCGTTCACTCTAGCCCTGGCTCCATTCTGCCACTCGGTGCCTTAATGTGAATGTGCCACGCCTGCTCTAGCCTGTAACCTGCCACTGGCCCGGGGTTGTTTGCTCATCCTGGCGCTGTTGGAACTGGCACCGTGAGCGCTGGTCGGTGGGGTGCTGGCTCCCCTGACAGGCCTGTTTCTGCAGGGGATAAGAAGTCTCTGAGCTCTTTCCCTCCCACCTGCGTCCTGGCCCGTGGGGGTACTGACGGATTGTTTCAGGCCGTTTGCAGGGGTCCAGCCGCCCCCCACACACAGCTATTTTGGCTGTGCCAGCTGGTCCCCGGGGTTGCACCTGGCATGCTTGGGGTCACATGGTACCTGTGAGATAGCCACAAGCCCTGGACTGTCCTTCTGCTTGGGGGCTGGAGAGTGCAGAGCCTAGCTTGCTCCCAGCACCTCACGGTTCCCCATCACTGCTGAGGGGAGTTCCTACAACAGTGCCAGATGTGATCCCAAAATCAGAATGATTACAGCCCGAAGACAGAGTTCTCCTCTTAATGGAGTCCTGAATGAGAAGGTCCCACAGGTGGCTAGCCGCGGGGGATGCGTAACAAACCCAGTGGTTGCGTGAGAGGAGAGGGTTCTGGAATGCTTCTGAGATGCCCGTCAGATTGTGCGACTTATTCAGCGTGCTCGCTGGTATGTTTTTAAGGTAGATGTTAAGGAGATACCAACTGGAAAGAGCTCGAAGGCTGAAACGCACCTCCTGGTCTCTGAGCATTGCCAGATGTCCCAGATGACCCTTCAGGAAGAAGTAAACACAGGGACTCAGCTTTGTCTTTCTGTGTGGGCCACACCCCCAGTGCTCAGGGCTTACTTCTGGCTTTGTGCTCAGCTCCTTCTTGGGAGTGCTGGGGGTGAGCTGCAGGCGCCCTGCTGGCTGTACTCTCTTTCGTAGGCACTTGGTGTTTTTTAAAATGAGAACATTCAGACTAGCTTTTATTTCTTTAGGTAATGTATCTGAAGTAGGGTTTTTTTTTTTGAGGGGCCACACCTGGTGGTCTACACTTGGGGGGGGGCGGGGGAATCACTCCCGGGGCCACAGGGGGATCAAATGGGGTGCCGGGAATTGAACCAGGGTCGTTGACCATGTGCATGGCAAGCGTCCCATCTGCTGTGCTGTCTCCTCGACCTCCGATCTGAACTTCAGATTGATCAGTTTCCAACCTCCCCGTGGAGCGTGTGTGTCACAGGATAGTCAATATGGGAAGCGTAGCCTTTGAAACTACATCGTTCCGTGCATTCATTTTAGAAGGCTACTGTAAATGTCCACCTGCCATCACATAGTTTCATTTCAGTTGTTTCTCTTCCAGTGGCCAGCGACAGCGCCCCAGAGCACGCTCTGAGACCTGGGTTCTTATCCACTTTTGCTCTTGCCACAGACCAAGGAAGTAAGCTGGGACTTTCAAAAAATAAAAGTATCATCTGCTACTATAACACGTACCAAGTAAGTTCATTATCTAATGATTTACTGATTTTTTATAAAAATTTAAAAATTCTACTTCAAATACTTGTGTTACAATTCTGAATTTAGGTGTTTGTGTCTTTTGTCTTGTGGGCCCAGGGGATGTGTGCAGTGCCAGGGATCGAACCCTGCTGGCTGCGTACAAGGCAGTCACTTTGCTTGTGCTGTGGCTTGGCCCTGAGTTTTAGTTTTGCAATAAATCCAATGTCAAAGTTCTCGTCTTCAACTGGGAACGTGGCTGCAGCGGCGTTCTGGGAGGGTTCTCGGGTCGGGGCCCCAAGCAGCAAGTACTTCTGGGTGCTACAGAGTATGGTCCAGATACTCCCTGGTACTAAGAGAATCAGATTAAATCTTAGCCTTGGCTTGGTTCCTGTCATAAGTCTCTTCACATTTCTTGTCAGTGGTCGATAGCATGGATTTGTCTAGTGGGGCAGGCTCAGAGTCCCCCTCTGAGGGGAGGTTGGCCAGAGTCACCTCCAGTAGGTGGTGCCTCAGCCAAGGGCAGCTTCCGGCACCAGTGTTCAGGCTGGATCTGCGTGTGATGGAAAAGGATGATAGGATAGAGATCAGTCGGGGTGTGTTCTGTGGCTGGGATGCACGGAGTCGCCTCATTGCGCCCCCTTCCCCAGCTACAGCGGCAATGAGGAATGAGTAGCCTGTACCTGTGGTGGCCAGTTACATTTTCTTTGTTTCTCTTTTGGGGCCCTGCGTGGCTCTGTGCTCGGTAGTGCCCCCTGGTGGTGCTTGGGGCACCGTTACAGTGTGTAGGAACAGAGGGGCCTCTCCCGGCCCCTGGCCGCCTGAGCGTTCGCATTCGCGAACTGCCTTTGCTTTACTGGATGCTCCATGCAGCCTGACTCTGTAGCCTTGGTAGCAAGTACATGACTGATGTTTTCCATGTGTTTGGGTTTTGAGACCATACTTGCCTCCTCATGGCTTACTCGTGGCTTTGCTCAGGGATCACTTCTGGTAGCACTGTAGCACTGTCTTCCCGTTGTTCATCTGTTTGCTTAAGCGGGCACCAGTAACGTCTCCATTGTGAGACTTGTTGTTACTGTGTTTGGCATATCAAATACGTCATGGGGAGCTTGCCAGGCTTTTCCATGCGAGCGAGATACTCTCAGTAGCTTGCTGGGCTCTCCGAGAGGGGCGGAGAAATCGAACCCAGGTCGGCCGCATGCAAGGCAAATGCTCTACCCGCTGTGCTATCTGGGGGGGCTCACTAATACCCAGAGTTATTTCTGGCAGTGCTTGGGGAACTCTTAGGGGTGCTGGGGATCAAACCTGGATCAGCCACATGCAGGACAGTTGCCCTGACCACTGTACCCACCCCTCTGTTGTCTTAGGAAATGATAACCAAGCCATTCGGACCATTGCACTACTGTAAGGAGCTACTGCTTTTAGTCACTTTAGTGAGAATTTATTGATTTGCTACTGTGTTATCCCTTCCAGGTTTCAGAGATAAAGATAACTTAGAGCTACCTTAAAACTTCTCAGGTTTCAATTAGTACCAGGAATTTTGCTCCATGACTTGGAGACCAGCCACACGTTCTAGGAGAAAAGGGAGCTCAGATAGAAAAGGGAGCACCAAATAAAGGGTGTTGGGAGGATCCTTCCAGGATGGGAGAAGCATGCTGAAAGTAGACTATAGGCCAAACATGATTGCCACTCTTGCAAACCAAAGCACCCAGAAGGAGAGAGAGAGAACAAAAGGGAATGCCCTGCCACAGAGGCAGGGGGGGATGGGAGGTGGGAAGGATACTGGGACCCGTGGTGGTTGGAAAATGGGCACTGGAGGAGGGATGGGTACTTGATCACTGTATAACTGAAACCCAAGCACAAAAATTTGTAAGTCTGTAACTGTACCTCATGGTGTTTCACTAATTTAAAAAAAAAAAACCTTCTCAGGTTTCTACATTAAAAAAAAGAAAAAAAAACTTCTCAGGTTCACTAGTATTACAGTTTCTTAAGGGATAATCAGTGAATTTGTTTTGTGGAAATAGGTATTTTCAACTTTCCGTGCTTCATAATGTAATATGTTGGTCCTGTATGTAGACCGCATTAAGTTGTAAGGATTATTTAAATGATGCTACTTTTCCATAATAAAACATTCAGAAATCATTTTCTTTATAGGTGGTTCAGTTTAACCGTTTACCTTTGGTGGTGAGCTTCATAGCCAGCAGCAATGCTAATACAGGTGCGTTTTAATGACCATAAATTCAGTTTTAAAGTTTTTATGATAGTCCAATGCAGAGATTCTAGCTCAGAGGTGACAGTCTGTATGTGGGTGAGTGACCTTTCAAAGATCAGAAAGAAAACTAAATGCTATCTTCAGCTTTTGAGTGCTGCATCTTTGCTTGTATTAAACCTGCTTTTGGAAGCAGAATGATGGGGAACAGAGACACATGCAAGATGTGGGTCGTATTTAACTCCCCAGAGACCAGCCTGGTAGAGTGTTCGGGGTTTCGAGTGACTGTCGCAAGATGAATGTTGTCGAGTTTTTAAGAGAGACCGAGAGCATGAGTAGCCTCATGTATTTCTGGAAGATTGAAGCTGAGAGCCGGGCTCCTGGGGAGACAAGGGTGTTTGTTGCCTTGGTGGCCAGCTCCTTTCCCTGGATACTCACCTGTACAGCAGTGACAGGCGGAGCCCTGCCCACAGTGCTTAGGGAATTTGACCCGAGCCTCCCACGTGCAGGATTACAGGGTGTATAATTCTATACTTTCAGTGCATAAAAAATGTTTCCTTCATCTTCTGTAATAGGTGATTAAAGTAGATTTCATTATCAGTATTGATGGAGAATTACGATTTCGCTTTAGTCGTGTGGATCGGCTGCCTTACTTTACTCGTCACTGGATTTCGCCAAGGGGGATGTAAGCCTGAAGACGTTCTGGCTTTCTGGGGTTCTGACTTTCTGACTCTGTTCCAGGCCTGATTGTCAGCCTGGAGAAGGAGCTGGCCCCGCTGTTCGAGGCGCTGAGGCAAGTGGTGGAGGTTTCCTAGTGGCCGTGGCCCGGCCCAGCCGTCTCGGAACAGACCCCATGGATCCCGCGACTGACTGCGCAGTGCTTGTGTCCGTGTGCCCGAGGAGGCCTCTCTCCGCCTCCACTCAGGGGCCCTGGAGGGGCTCGCGGCACGTGTCCTCTTCTCTGTCAGACCTTCTCTTCAGTTCCCGAGCGCGGTGCCCAGCAGTGCGCACCCGCAGCTCCTGTAGTGTCTCCCTCGGTCGCCGGCTGTGGATGTGATTGTCGATGGTTTGGTGGGTCTGAGTCAGTGTGGGACAGGATTCCAGGGAGGCAGAAGTGGTCCCCGCGGCCCTCGCCCCTGGATGTCCCGTTCCCAGGCCTGCAGGCAGAGGCGGGCTTTCCTCGCCGGGGAAGAGGAGGTGGAGGAGGACATTTTCTGTTTTTTTCATGTGTTTTATTTCTTTGCATTGAATGTGAGAAAGAAAAAATGCTTAGTGAATTAATAAAACCAGTACAATCACTAACTCTGCTATATATTATGTTATTTTGCAACATAGATAAAATATTATTAATTTATTTGACTTTTTTAGAGGGTGCTGCTCTCCTTAAGGGAAATGATAGCTAATATTTCCCCCGAGCTTTCTATTACCAATCAATGTAATAATGTTTGTGTGTTCTTTGTAAACTTTAGATGTGATTTGTTTTCCAATCTGTTTCCGGTATTGGTATGTTTGTAAAAGTGATTAAGTACATTTTTTCACATCTGAGTATAAATAAAACAGTATTTTTTTAAGTATACTTTAAATACTCTAGGCTTATTTTTACACTCCCCCAAAGGTTTAAAAAATTTAATTTGTTCTTTCAATCTCACAAAGTGGTGTTTTCTTACAAATACTGATTTGGAGATTTTTACTAGCAAAATCTGGGTTTTCTGTGGGCCTATCTTCCAGTTTTTGAGTGCAGCATACAGGCCTCTGTGTTCAGGAAAAGGCTTGCTTCGGGCTGTCTGGCCGGAGTACCTTTCCTGCCGACTAACTGGTACCTCGTGTGTGGGGAGGCTGTCCGCCTGGCACTCCCTGTCACTTGCTGCCTGCCTCCCTCTGTCCTGTCGCACAGCTCACCTCAACATTTGCCTGGGGGATTTACAGCTCGGCTGGAAGGTCGGCAGGTCCTGGGATGAACTGTAGAAACGCGGAATAGGAATTTTGGACCCCGGCAGGAACAGCAGCTTTCCCACCACACGCAAGAGTCCCTTGTTCTCCTGCAGGTGATAGGCACACCCATTAAAATCTAGAAGCCCCGGTTTCTGTGATCTGGATTTTGTAGTTTCTAGAACATTGTGGTCCATCCTTTTAATGCTTTAAAAAAATATCTTTTGAAAGAAAGAAAATGAAATCTTTATAAATGAGTTGACCAATATTAAATCGTATTTAATAGGCAGTCGAGAATGGAGGGGTAAATTCAAAAGCTTCATAGGTTACGTGTCTCTATTAGTACTATATTCTGAGGCTTTTAGATCCGTATCATCACCAGCAGTGACAGATTTGGTCCCCAGAGCATTGGTGGATATGGCTGTTTGCTGTACTTAGAAAAATCCCAGTTTGATGATGAGAAACTGAAAAGGGCCACCTGCTTCTGCACACACATGGACCCCTGGGAAGTGCGCCCGCGTCTGAAGGGCGCAGGGAGCTGCTCGTGGTGCAGCTGCTGGAACCGGGTGCTGGGCCTGTCTGCAGCATAGCCGGGAAGGCAGGGCCGATGTTCCTCAGTGACATGCCTTGTCCAGAGCCTGGGGCAGCGGCCTGCGGACTCCGAGCCAGAGGAGAGAGGCCCAAATCGACAAGCTCTGTGGGGTCTGGAGGTGGTGTGGCAGCTGGGCTGGCTGCAGGCACCCGGCACCCTCCAGACAAGGGAACCTGGTGGCCAGCACCAGCCTGGGTGAGGCCCAGCTCCTGCCTGGCAGCTGCTGGCGCAGAACTCCTGGGGCAGAGTTATTGTTCCTGTCACTCGGCATCCCCGCCTCGAGGGACAGTCTCAGTTCTCCGTGGTCAGTGGTCCTCTAGAACTCTGAGGACAGGCTGTCCACTTGGACTGCGTGGCTCACAGTCCTGAGTGCACCCTTCACCATCCTGTCCATCTGTCAGTTCTGCTCTAAGTAGCAAAAGGGAAGCATAGCAGAACCACAGACACAACCGAAGAACATAAATAAACAAGATTTATTTACAGGTTAGGAACCGCCCCTGCAGGTGGGCGGGGAGAGCTCAGGGAAGATGGTTTGTGGCCCTTCGTCCACACACGTTTCAGTGAGCATTCTCTTGGTCCCACGTGATACGAGAAAAATGCATTTTACGCTGCTGAAATACAGGGGGAGGAAGTAATGGGTGTGTAACAGGAGAAACATAGCTTACAAGGACCATTGGCTGGGTCCTCCCGCTTCTCTGGGTGCTCTTTCGGTGAGCATTCCTTTGGTGAGCATTCCTGCGGGTGCCCGGCTGCAGGGTCTGAGCTCTGAGTGCAGCACCACGGCCGGCTTCCTCCCTCACCCGAGATGGCGCGGGGTTCTGGGCTCTCGGGAGGGGCCCTCGCCCATGGGGAGGTTTCACGCTTCTGTCTGGGAGCAGCGTCGGCTGAGGGTAGTCCAGGGCGTGCAGGCTCCGTAGCGGGCATGAATAGCGCGTCAGACTATAGTTCGTGATGCTCTGCCCCACAACTGTCGTGCCCATGAGACACTGTCCGCCCAGAGGCCCGCTGACTTCCTGGGCCTTTCACAGACAGTGAACACACCCTCGCCTTCTGTTAGTGCTGAGGAGACAGCCACGTCTTCCTGCATCAGGAGGAAGGCATGAGCCCTTGTGGCCGACCCTTCAGGAGGGGTGACCGCACAGCCCCGGGTGTGCAGGCTTGTCTGTAGACTGTGGCAGCAGGTGTTGGCAGTGGTGGAGTGACCGGCCCGGTGAGCATGTGGGCATGTGGGCCCCTCCTGTCCACACGGGTGGCGGCACTGCAGATGTCAGTACCTGCCTCTGACTGGGTTTGAAGAACGTCCTGACCCCGTGAGGGGCTGGGGCTGGAGATGGGGGTGGGGCCTGCGGCCAGCCTGGAGGCAGGAACGGCTATTTGAAGATGAACGACTGGGACCGGACGGTTCCTTCCCTCTGGTCAAGCTGTTTCCGGATTTGAGACTGAAATGAAACACGCAGTGATCATCCCCGAGCTGGGGGAAGTAACAGAAGGACACTCGAAAGGGCGAGAACGCTAACAGGCCACTTACTGTGGGCCACCCCAGCTCTCTCCTGGTTTCCTGTAGGGTGTCAGGAGGCCTCGGCCTGAGCCAAGCACAGTGGGGAGGGCATTTACACGTGGTGACCAGGTTCAATCCCTGTCATCCCACATGGTCCCCAAGCCCACCACAAGAGACTCCTGAGTGCAGAGCCAGGAGTAACCTGAGCACTGCCGGGTGTGGTCGCCAAGACAAAACCAAACGGAGCTGCCATCTGCTTTGTAGATGGCATGCACTTGGGAATCACCCATTGGGATTTATGGGGTGGTTCACAGGCAGCCTGGGTGAGCCAGAGGAGCCCTGGGCGGCGGCTACATGTTATTCAGAGGTATTTCCACTCTGGACAGTGAAAGTGCATTGGATACATTTCACCTTACTTTCAAAATAAGGGTTAGGATTCTCCTGTAGGATTCTCCTACAATAGGGACTACAAAAACTTGGTTTACATCTGAGCAGGATTTCACAGGACAGAGTATTTCCCCGCTGAATAACATGCGTGTTGGAACTTCCTCCAAGTAAGTTGTATATTTGGATTCAAACTGGGAAGAGAAACTAAAGCAAACTTCTTAGAATCTAGAAAGGAAAAAGCAGTAAGAGTCTACATAACAGCTAATTACATAAAAAGAAATGTTTACACATGGAAACATCAAGGGTTTCAACGGGCTTTTATGAGCAATTTCAGTAATCTTTACTAACTTACTAAGGCACAAATCTACAGAAACTGTAGCCCACTGACATCTTTCTTTCTTTTAAAAAAAGATTGGGTTTATTATGTCATTATTATTGTTGTTATTATTATTATCACTATCATTATTTTGCTTTTTCAGGGTCACACCTGGCAATGCTCAGGGGTTACTCCTGGCTGTGCACTCAGTAATTACTCCTGGCAGTGCTGGGGGACCCTATGGGATGCCAGAGATCAAACCCATGCAAGGCAAACACCCTCCCCACTGTATTATCACTCGAGCCTGACTGGAATCTTTCTATGCACCTGCTCTCCCCGCTGAGATCTTCAGAGAAAGCCAATAAAATCTACCACTGTCGGTCAAGTGCAGAGCACTGCGGGTTGGAAGACACCAGCCTTTCCGCCCCATCCTCCAGCCCAGGCTGCTGGTTCTCCATGGAGAGCCAGGAAACTGCTCCTCCCAAGTGTCCACCCTTAGGCCCCAGAGAAGGGACGGGCCTCCTAGTAGGCATCCTGCTGCTTCTCAGCCCAGCGCTTTCCAGGGAACACAGGCCTCGGCAGGGCTGGCTCTCAGGCTTCGGCCGGGCTGGCTTGGGATCCAACACACGTCTGACTCACCAGCTTCCAGCGCAGGATCTTGATCCACTCGTCGGCCTCCACGCCTGTCTTTGCACAGAGATAGAAGGTCCTGAACGGGAACACTAAGCTGCAGAGAAAAGCAGGTGCGTAAGCGGCAGCAGAGCCTGGTCGGGTGTTTGCCCCCTGAGCTCCAGTAGGACAAGGGCACCAAGCCAGATGGGAGCAGGATGGCACCCGGCAGTGACCAGGAGGCGGGGTCAGGGCGCAGCCACTGAGCTGGTGGTTTCTGGGAGAATTCAAGGAATCGAACAGGTCTGGGATGCCCCGGGCCCCTTTGTTCTCTCTGTCTGATGGGGGGCGCTCAGGACCCTTGGGGGTGGGCTTGGCCAGCTGAGAGAGGGCAGCTTGCTGAAGGCCGGGCCCTCGTGCCCCTCTGTGGCCTGGGGTGCCCACCCTACTACACACCCTGCTCCATGGCGAACCCCCAGCCCCGCTCAGACCTGGACATATGAAGATGCACAGGGTCTTATTCATTAGCTAAAGTTAGTGTCTGGTAAGAGGTTATTTTAAACCATTTCTTTTCCAAACCCACTTACCAGAAACAGTTCACTCTTTCCTGCGAGTAATCGAACTGCACCGCCGAACATTCCGTCAAGTCTAGGGTCCGAATCGGCTCTGGAGACTTAGAGAAGAGATAACAATCTGAATTATAAACCAGACACCCGTGTGCTGACAAGCTCTGCTGCTTGTGACCAGGTGGGCCCTCTGGGGGCGTCTCTCCCCTGGTGAGGGAAGGCCCCCCAAGAAAAACTGATGTGATCCAAGGGACCGAGAGGGGTCCAGCTGGAAGGGAGGGTCTCTCCTGTTTCACAGCTGCCTGTTTGGAAACGTGTGGGAAGAGAAGAAATTATTTCCAGCTGCTTGATGCAGTGAGTGCGGGAAAAAGACGCTTCTGATCAAGGCGGATTGGCTGCCAGAGGCCTATACTGTGTCCGGCACGACTTGGGGGCCCAGGCTGAGGGTGCTGTTCCTGGGGCTGGAGCTGGTCCCCGGGGAGACCCAGCCTGGGCTGCCGTCCACATGCCCGAGGAGACCTCAGCACCCTGAGGGCGGGGTCCCTTCCACCTGGAGGACCGATGGGACCTGCCTTAATTCACTTGTGGGTCCCACCCAGCCTACCCAGAGGCTACTCTGCTTCATGTTCGGGGGTCCCTCCCGGAGATGTTTGGGGGGTCCCGTGGGGCCGGAGCCAGCCCGAGCCCTCCTGCCCGGAGACCGAGCCCAGCCCACGGCCCTGCAGTGCTGGAGCAGCTTCTCAGGAGACTCTGCCATTCTTACCATCTGGTCCTTGAAGTACTTCAGCTCATTCCTGTGCAACGTGAACCACCTTGTTTTCCACGTCTGAAAAGTGGAAATACGCAGGTTTTGAAAACAGGAATGCAGTATTTTAACTGGGCCATTTTCTTTCGTTTAGTTTTTGTTTGTTTTGGGGCCTCACCCAGCTGTGCTCAGGGCTTACTCCTTGCTCTGTGCTCAGGAATCACTCCTGGCGTGCTCAGGGGACCCTATGTAGGGCCAGGAATCGAACCCTGGTAGGCCACACGCATGGTAAGGGCCTTGACCACTGTACCATCTCTCTGGCCCCTCTAAAGAAATAGAAACAATTCTATGTACTAAGCTGATAAGGTACAGACTTCACTACCATACTAAAACAAATTAAAATGGCCTCATAAATATTCAAGTTAAATATTTTTAATCCCTGTACAATGTTTTCAGAACCTACTGTGGTTGTATACCTTTCCTAGCTTGTGTGACATTTCGGTTAATCCTCATGTAATACTAATCATTATTATTTGGCATACTGAAAAACCTCAAACAATATGATATTCTAAGATTTGGTTAAAAATTCCATGGTTGGGGCTGGAACAATACACAGCAAGTAGGGCATTTGCCTTGCACGTGGCCAACCCGGGTTCAATTTCCAGCATCCCATATGGCCCCCCGAGCACTGCCAGGGATAATTCCTGAGTGCAGAGCCAGGAGTAACCCCTGTCCATCGCCGGGTGTGACCCAAAAAGTAAAAAAAAAAAAAAAATTCCATGGTTTTGGGCCAGAAAAATAACACAGCAGGGAAGGCACTTGCCTTGCACATTGCTGACCCAGGTTTGATCCCCGACACCCCATATGGTACCCTGAAATCACACCAGGAGCGTTCCCTGAGCACAGAGCCAGGAGTAAGTCCTGAGCACAGCCAGATGTAGCCAAAAAAAAAATTATGTTTTCTCAGATGCTAACTGCAGACCATTCTCATGCTTGGTTTTGCCAGAGAATACTCAGTGATTCAGCAAAATTTTAAGCTAGCCATTACAACACATTCTGGGCTTGCTCTTCAAGGCCGTGTTCTCCCTTGAACACCATATTGCTGGCTTGTCTCCATTTCTTTGTGTATTTCCACTCTGGAGAAGCCTGTTTTCTCTCAAACACATTTCCTCTCTTTCTCCTCCTCTCACATGTTTCTAAACAAGTTTTGTTCAATACAAACTACCTTGCTTCATGAAAAGAAATCAAAGGAACTCTTGAAATAGCTAAATGTTTGAACTGCTTCCACGGCAGACAGTTCTGCTTTTGAAAGAATGTCCAGATGCATGCTGGGCCCCCCGGTATGCCCTGCCCCAGACAGTCCTTACCTTGACCAGGCCTCCCTGTTTGGTGAGGTAGCCTTCTTTGGTGCCCAGCTGAAAGAGACAAAGCACTCCGTCAGTCCAGAACTATTTCTGTTCATCCTATTTTAAAGTAAAGCACAGATTTGCTTTGATCCTTAAATAATCATCTTTTATTCTTGAAGGAGGTCTTTGAAAACCCTCCACAGGGTCTGAGCACTTGACTGGGAGCAGGAGGTGCACAGCAGTGGAAGCTCCTGACTGCAGGTGGAAAGCAGGGAGACATCACATGGAAGGGTGGTGCTTGGAGGGCCCCCTCAGAGAGCCGTGTGAGAACCAGTGCACACTCAGACCATGCACACACACACACACACGCATATACATACATGTACACAGTCACACATACAACACATGCACACATACATGCATATTCATACATGTGTACAGTCACATGCATACAACACACATGTACACATACATGCATAAACATAAATGTACAGCCACACACAACACATACACACATGCATATACATACATGTGCACAGTCACACGCATACAACACACATGCACACATACACACATGCATATACATACACGTATAGTCACATGCATACAACACAGTGCACACATACACACATGCATATGCATACACGTGCACAGTCACGTGCAAACAACACACATGCACAGTCATACATACATGTGCCAACAGAGGTCAGTATATCTCGGAAGGTAAATATAAGCAAAGTAGAGGGATTTCTTTACTTTGGGGTACCCAAGTCTGGGCTATGCCAACATACCAATACCAAGTCTTGGCTTTAGAGGAAATATTAGAAATCACATTTCTAACATTTATTCGGTCACAAATCACATTTCTAACATTTATTTGGTCACATAACCCTCCCCCACCTCCTCCTGGGTCATCCCCGGCCACTTCAAGATAGTGCTTCTATTTACACTTGATTTATCCAGAAGGGGTTTGCAGTAAGAGTAGTCATTTCCCTCCACTCACGGGCCGACTCTTAGGAAAATAGCACACCTCCCTGAGCCGGCCCCTGGGGCTGGAGGGCTGGCAGTGTCTTGGGAGCAAAGCAAGACCCTGAAGATGAAGAAACTTTTATTTTCATAGATCTCTTTGTAGATATTTTGACTTAGCATGTCCTGTTTCATATCAGCAAGTAGCACTGTAGCACTGTCCTCCAGTTGTTCATCGATTTGCTCAAGCGGGCACCAGTAACATCTCCATTGTGAAACTTGTTGATACTGTTTTTGGCATATTGAATACGTCAAGGGGAGCTTACAAGGCTCTGCTGTGCGGGCGGGGTAATCTTGGTAGCTTGCCCGGCTCTCCAAGAGGGACAGAGGAATTGAACCTGGGTGGGCCGCATGCAAGGCAGATGCCCTACCCACTGTGCTATGGCTCTGCCCATCAGCAAGTAAAACAATTTGAAAAATGAGGAAATGACTCCGCTGACCACAAGGTTCTTTTTACGGGAGTTTCCAGAGCAGTTTTTCTTGAGGTGAATTCTTACCAAATGCAAAAGGGGAACAACCACCACTGTGATAAAAAGTTAAAGCAAGAAATAAAGATGTGACCATTTTGAAGACTCTTAGGTCCCTCAAAGTCGGGAAGAGGTTCCTGGTGTTCTTCCACACCAAGCTTCAACAGCACAGGTGAACCTGATATTACGTGACACGTTTGGTTGCTTTTGACATTGATGAAGTTGAACCAACGGACGAGTTTAGGGATCATTTTACGGAAGTGGCAGAACAGAAGGTTTCCGGTGACTGCATAGCAGTCTCTGTAGAGGTGAAACTACTGAGGGCCAGTTGCGATCTGGAGGGCTCTGTTAGAACTGCTCACTCTCTGATGGCAGGAGTGACCGGCTAGCCGCCAGCTGGCCCTGGCCACACACCTGCTCACTCTCACTTCCTGGCTGTTGGTGGTCGTGGGGGGTCTGTGTAGGCTGGGCAGAGGGTGCACGTTCCATTCACAGTCTTAGCAGGTGAAAGGAGGATCATAGACCAGATTTCTTCTTTCAAAACTAGCTCAAAGGCACAGGTCTGGCTCAGGAAGAGCATTTGCTCCTGGGGTGAGGCCCTTTGCTGGTGCCCATATTCCCAAATCCATGAGCCATGGCAGGAGAGGGGTTTCCAGGAGTCCGTCTTTGGGAACAATGTAAATATTCACAAACAAAACCGGGGGATCGAGGACTGGGCTAGGAAAGGTGTAGGGACAGTCATGGACCTTGTATATCGAGTTCACTATGACACATCTAAAGGACGTAAAACAACAGAATCGCCTGTTTGCTCCCCTTTCACGTAGCCCCACATTCTCTGGTGGAATGACGAACAGGGCTCTGTACACAGGGGCTAGCACAGTGTCCCTGGCACGGGTGCTCCTGGCATTGGTGTTGTGTCGTGGGTGTTCCTGGCATGAGTGTTTGCTGAGCCTCGCACAGGTGTTCTGGCCGGGGTGTTCCTGGCAGGTATTCCTGGCACGGGTGTTCTGAGCACGTGTGTTCCCAGGACAGGTCTTCCTGGCTCAGCCTGGTGCAGACAGCCCAGCAAGAGCCGAGTGAGCTGGGGGCAGCTTGGCAGCCTGGGGCCCGGCAGGTGGTGGTGGCGAGTGTCAGCCCTGGAACCGGGGGCGCGACAGAGTGGGCAGTAGCATCCCTAGAGACTAGAGAATTCTCCCGCTTGATGGACTGAAACAGATAAGTATACTGAAGGCCTGGAATTCGAATTCCTCAGCGGAGGGGGTGGGAATGACCAGTAAGAAAGAGAAAGTTGGGGACCCCTGAGAGCTGGGAGTAGGGCAGAAGGTCCCACCTGAACCTGCGGGTGGGAGGCTGAAACAGACATCACATGTGTGTACATCTACCTGCGCCACGAAAGATAAACAATCAAGGGTGAACAGTAACTTCCCGAGGATCATTGCGAGCAGAGCTAAGGGTCCACAGGAGAATCTGTTTCTGGGCCAGCCCTTTTCACTTTCACCTCACAGGTTCTTCCTGGGAAGTCTTTTGTCGTTGTTGTTTTTCTGGGTTTTGGACCACAACCAAAAATGGTGTTTAGATCTTCCAGTGTCAGGGGCCCACACAGTCCCTAGGACCAACACACACAAATTCACACATACCGCATACAACACACACACTCACAGGCCCTCTCTTGTGCACACACAGACACACACACACTCACTCTCTTGTACACCTTCACACACAAGACTCTCACACACTCACACAGGTTCTCACACACAGACTCACAGTCATACACACTCTCACATAGACTCACAGCAACTCTCACCCAGACTCTGACACACACTCACACAGACTCACACTCACATACAGACTCACATTCATACTCACAAACACTCTTATAGACTGTCACACTCTCACACAGACTCACACGCATACATATAGACTCACACATGCTTACACAGAGATTCATACACACAGAGACCCCCCCACACACACAGAGACTCACACTTAAAGACACTCACACAGACACTCACATACACTCTCCAGCACTCACAGATTCACACATACACACTCTCACACAGAGACACTCACACTCACACAGGTAGGAAAGCACCCCTGACTCTGGAGTGAACGGAGGCTTTTCTCTCATGGGCAGTTGGGGCAGGAGGTGTCTCCTCACTGAAGCTTGAGCCCAGGGTGTGTGTGAGACAAGCTGTGTGCCCTTGGACCTGGACCTGGGGGCTCACAGTCGATTCTCCATGCTACCCCCACCACATCTGGGTGTGTGTCCCTTACCCTGGACTCAGCCTCCTTCCTTCCTGAGCCCTGAGGGTCCTGCATGAGCTTTCTGCAGGGCTCTGGCTTTGTGGACCCTCGGGGGTGTATGGGGCTTGGCCCGTGGCATGGTGGCTCTTACCGAGGGCGCCGTAGGCACGAGGTCATTCTCAGTCCTTCCCGTCTGCATGGCCGTGTGGACGCGCACCGACTCGTAGATGGACGGCTCCTCCACACTCCTGGGGTAGGGGTGTCTCAGGACGATGAGGGTCCCTGTGGGCGGGAACAGTCAGGCCTTCCTGCACCTCCAGGGCCAACACCCAGGAGGGGAACGGTCAGTGTGGCCTGATGGGTCGCCTTGAACGGGCAGTGACAGGCGGACAGGTGGGGCTGAGCCCGGCCCCCCGCTCTGTGTCTTCTACGTCGGCGCCCCTGGGACAGCAAACGCAGGGGAGCCCCAGTTTCCTGGGCAGGGTTCAAGCCCCTGAACACCACATGCCAAGACGTTCCCAGCTGATGCCTCAACCGTACTCCGACGCCTCACTCGTTTCCGAGAAGACTTGTGGGGTGCTGGTGGGCACGCCCCGCCCGGCCCGGCCCCTGAGAGACCAGAGAGAATTCAGGCTGGGGCTGCTCACCCCTTCGTGTCCAGCCCCCGCAGGAGTGACTCAGCCCCTTACATTTCCTCTCATCCCAACTCCCAACCGTCAGTCAGAAACTAGAAGTCAGGCTGCAGAGTGAGAGAGGCTTTCCCTGGGGTGGCTCCCTCCCTCCCTCCCTCCCTTCCTCCCTATCCTCACCTCCACTCTTCCACCTCCACCCTCTCGTTCACTTTGTGGGCAAGCCCTGGGCTGTGCTAGACAAGGGTGCGTGTGTGTGTGCGCGCGTGTGCGTGTGTGTGCGTGCATGTGTGTATGCGCGAGTGTGTGCATGTGTGTACATGTGTGTGTGCATGCATGCTTGTGCATGCATGTATGTGTGTCTGTGTCTCTGTGTGTCTGCATGTGTGCGTGTGTGTGCGTGTGTGTGTGCATGCATATATGCGTGCATGTGTGTGTGTGGTTCAACCATTCCTTCCCCCGCGTCACCCAGCCTGCTTGGCCTGCCCTGTGGGCATAGGAAGCCTCAGTGGTGGCAGGTCTGTGGGACGGTGGGGGTCAGTCACTCAGATGCTAGGGTTACGGGCCCCTTCAGGGTGTGGGTGTGGGGCCACTCTACCCTGCAGCCACCAGCACGGCCCTGGGCAGGGTGGAGCAGTGTTGTTCTGGCTCGGGAGGATAGGGCTGCTTGGGAGAAAAGACCTGCCCCTCAGTCCTGCAGGGATCACAGGTGGGAGGAACTGCACAGGACAGAAATCACAGGTGGGAGGAACTCCCTGTGGGCACGAAGCCTCATCTCATCCTCTGCACGGCAGGTAGTGAGGCAGGAACTACACCCGTCTGCCCCACTCCACGAGGTGGTTAAACAAACCACCACGAAGAGAGGTGATGTAACAGGCTCAGACACACAGCTGGTAAACAGTGGTGGCTGTGCTGGGAGCTCACGGATTCACTCACTAGGCTTCTGTGGTTCTCACAGGGGTGTGATCACACAATGGTGTGTGGAAGGTTCGCTGAGGTGGGCAGGACAGCCTTGGTGCTGCCTAAGAAGTGTCCTCAGGAGCAGCCGAGGGACGGCCGGGTCCCACGAGGCCTCGCTTGTGAAGGAGAACCGGATGACCTCCAAGTTCCCTTCCTGGTCCCGCCCTCTGCAGACCGAGACACACAGGCCCAAAACAGAGGAGCCTGGTGGTGATGAGCGCCTGAGGTCTGTCCACGTCCCAGACCCAACACGAACGCCGGAGGACCCTGGGGCTACTACGCCCGGCCATCCTCCTCCTCCGAGACACAGTTCCCTCTGCCTTACTATACCCACAAAGGGGGATCATAGCCCCTCTGGAACGATGTGAAGGAGTCTAGCGGCGGGACTGGAAAATGCTTCCCAGCTCTCCTTTATGCTCTAAGATTTTCTCCAGCAGAATCTCTCGGATGGCAGTTTTGTCAATCAAATCTGAGCAACAGATGCAAGGGCAGCCTCGTTCAGAGGGAGTCACGTTCTCGGGACAAGGGGCACCTCCCAGCGCACTGAAGCCCACCCCCATGCTAGCTCGGCACTGCGGCTCAAACAGAGCCCTCAGGGCCTGCCTGCTGGTCACCTTCAGTACCAGTGAGGGGCAGGTCCCCAGACAGGCTTGCCTGGCAGTGAGCCTAACCTCGGGCAGTTTTGATTTTCTTATCTGAGCTGGGCAGAGAGATTGTGCCATGTGGCAGGCCTTGGCTTATACCCGGGTTTGCTCCAGCACCTCACATGGCCCGTGAGCCCCACCAAGAGTGATCCCTGAGCACCACCCAGATTTCCTCATCTGTGCCACCAATGGCAGCGCCAAGGATGATCAGGAACATATGAAGACACTTGAGTAGCAAACACGCCACACATGTGGCTTCTTTACTCCTGGCCTGCCTTCTCCTTTCCAAACACTCCTCTACAAACGAAAAAAAAAATCATAGTTTTGACAAACATAAACTAAAGAAGCGATTCCCAGTTGTGGTTTAGCAGAATCCTATCTTGTCACTAATGATTATCAAGTGTCACACAGTTTTAACTTGATTATTTTAAAATGCCCCCTAGAGAATGCCCTGCCACAGTGGCAGGGTGGGATGGGGGGGATGGGGGGTAGAAGGGATACTGGGATCTGTGGTGGTGGGAAATGGGCACTGGTGGAGGGATGGGTATTTGATCATTGTATGATTGAAACCCAAGCACAAAATTTGTAAGTCTACAGCTGTACCTCATGGTGTCTCACTAATAAAAATTAAAAAAAAAATGTCCCCTAGAAAAAGTGATTGGTGTCACAAAATAAAATACTAGTAACCATAGCAGTTATTAAGAAAAATAGGAATCCCCAGGGCAAAAGAAAAGGAGAAGTAGAATATTGACATTTAAGAAGGATAGGATAGTAGAAACTGAGGTTTATTCTCAAGGGTAAGAGGCAAGCAGGGGCATAGACTCAAGAGTTTTCAGGCTGGTGAGATAATGAAGGTCACGACAGTCATTCCTATAACAGATGGAACATGGAAGTTTCAGGCCCACTACAAAAACAAAAAGATTGCTCTGGAAATAAATGGTAACAGGAAAGGGAATTCTTCACTCTTCATTTGAGAAGAAAGAGTAAATTCTGCCTATATTCTCAAAACTATGAACCTTGGCTAATTATAAGAGGATACAGTAAAAAAAATTAATAATGGGCTAAAATATCTCCAAACTAATATGATTTGTCACATCTCAAATTTCCAACAATGGGTTGACTCTAGAATCCATGTACAGATAGGGCTGGGTATCATATATAAGCATCCTCTGTTGTGAACAGAGGGCAGACATCCAAATGTGATTGTTCCCGAGCACACAAGCAGCATGAAATACAATTTCAGGTTGTGTTTAGGTTTTGGAAGTGGAGCCTGCCAGGGCTTCCGAGGTGCAGTGTCAGCTGACGCGCTTCCGGGCGGGCGCAGGTGCTGAGACAGTGGTGATCGCGGTTAGCACCAGGTATTTTAGTTGCTGGGATATATTGGGGAGCAGACGAACTAAAATTGTTCTCCTCATTGAATTTACAAATGAGAGCCAATGTGGTTTTCACAAAACACATTGCAGAACATGTCAGCGGACAAGAAGCGTCAAGGAACTCAGGCGTCCAGGCCAGGCAGGGTGCAAGCCGGAGGACTGGTTGGGCCTTAGAGGTAAAGGGATCTCACGGTATCAACAGAGGGAGAATCATGCAAAGAATTTTAAGAAAGGCCAGAGGCTTAGATTTTTTTTTTTTTTAAGGACATCTTCTTGTTTTGTAAAAGGAAACAGAAATCCTGAAGGTTGAGATAATAGAGAACAGGAACAGGAAAGGAACAAGGAGAACTTAAAGTACAGTTTACACCTTAGGACAAATTCTCTTCCCCACCTGAGTATAAATATTTCCCGTGACCCAAAGCTGAGCACTCTGGGTCTCTAGCCTGAGATGACCGGAGAGCTGTGGGCACACGAATGGGCACTTGGGGCATGTGTGGGCCTTCGCCATGCCACCAGAAATGAGTGCGAGAACATCTCTCAGGTACAGCCAGAGCCCAGACCCTCATCCCAGGCGCTGCAGACTGTGGGGGACCTCCTCTGCCATCTTGAAGCAAATAAAACTTCACCAAGAATTTACACCTTCTCAGCCAGTGAACAGGAGCCTGTGGTCCCGCAGCCTGGCTGGGAGGAGTCAGTTCTTCATGAAAGCAGAAGGGACCAAGTTTAGAAGGTTCCAGTTTCCATTCTTCCAGGGCAGAGCTCTCTCTGCCTTCTGAGAACCTTCCGGGCTTCAGCTGGACCATGAATTCATCACCTGCCTGTTCCTAGGTCTTCCCTGGAGGGCATCCTGGGATCCCCCATCTGTCAGGCGGTGCTGTCCCTGACTCTGATGGGGACAGAAAGGGGTCAGTCGCTCCTGCACAAAGGCCCAGGCCAGCAGGTCGAGGGCATTCCTATCAGCGCCAGTCCCACTGGGTCAGGATTAGAATACAAGGTGATATGGGACTGTATGTGGTGCTGGGGATGTAACCTGGGTTGGCTGCATGTAAGGCGAGTGTCCCCGTTCACCGTCTCAGGCCCCTGGGTCGGACTGTTTTGTTCTGTTCTTATTTGGGGGGCATAACTGGCAATGCCAACATGGCTGACCCGAGTTTGATTCCTCCGCCCCTCTCGGAGAGTCCGGCAAGCTACCGAGAGTATTCGATATGCCAGACACAGTAACAACAAAGTCTCCAATGGAGACGTTACTGGGCCCGCTCGAGCAAATCGACGATCAACGGGAGGGCCTTTACCTTTACCTTTAACTGGCAATGCTAAGGTCTTACTCCTGACTCTGTGCTCAGGGATCCCTCCCGGAGAGGTTCAGGGAACTCTGTGTGGTGCCAGGGAGCAAGTAGGTACAAGGCAAGTGTCCGGCCGGCTGTACTACAGCTCTGGCCCCCAACTGTTTTTCATTGAATCACCGTGAGACAGACCCTTGCAAAGCTGCTCATGATGGGGTTTCAGTCACACAGTGTTCCAACACCCGCCCCTCCACCAGTGTCCCAGGCTCCCTTCTGCCTCCCCTACACATCCCTCCCCAGCCCGCCTCTATGGAAAGCACTTTCCTTCTTCTTCCTTTCTCTCCCTGCCCTCTCTCTCTCTCCCTCCTTGCCTCCCTCTCTCCCTCCCTCCTTCCTTTCCTCCCTCTCTCTCTTCTCTCTCTCTCTCTCTCTCTCTCCCCCCCCACCAACCCGCCCCCCCATCTCACTCTACTCATAGGCACCGAGGTTGGTTATTACTGAAAGGGCATCAAGCATATCCCTTGACCTCCTTTCAGCTCAGTTCTTGTCCAGGTGACAACCATCATTTGCATTCTGATCCCTTCTCTGTCTGAACTTTGTGCTTGACTTTTTCAAAGAATTGAATCACCATGAAATAGAGCGTGATGAAACGGTTCATATTATGTTTCAATGCGTTCAGTCATACAGTGTTCCAACACCCATCCCCCCAGTGTGGCTTCCAGCACCAGTGCCCCCAGGTCCCCTCCCACCCCCCTAAACCACTCCCACCCTCTATAGCAGGCACCTCTCTTCTTTCTCCCTCTCCCTCTCCCTCTCTCTCCCTCTCTCTCCCATCCCCCTCCCTCTCTCTCACCCCCCCTCTCCCTCCCTCTCATTATAGGCATTATGGTTTGCAATATAGATGCTGAACGGTTATCACGTATATCTCTTTACCTACTTTCAACAGTCAGTTCTTGTCCAAAGTGATCACTTCCAATTACTGTTGTCATAATGGACCCTCCTCTATCGTAACGACCCTCCACCCCCACACCCTTGTGGTCATTCCCAGCCACTGACCACTCCTCCTGGCCCATTTTTCCTGGCTGTGCTTGACTTTTAATTAGACTTTTCTGCTTTAGCTCTAACCATTCAAGCAGATATTTCAAATAGAAACTATGACAATAGAGAATTTTATGAGGAAACAAAGGATGTACCAGAAAAGTAATTCCTAGTCAATATTTTCAATACCCAGTGATTTCTGGAAATTAAAGTATAACTTTTGGTTTCAAAAGTGTTCAAAATAGCTACAAACTGCCTATGCCTAAGATTAGGAGGAATCAAAATTTATTGTATTTGTTTTTTCATTGTATATCATATGTCTGATTATAAAATAAAATAAATAGGTTATTTAAAAACACTGGCATGCCTTTAATACATTAAGCATTAGATTCAGAGAAAAATACTTTTTTCTTCTAAAAGCAACTAAAATAAATGCATCTTTATTAGAAATATTTATTCTAAAATTTTTTTATGAAATGACTTTAAAAATCATATATTAACAAATTATTTCTAACATATCCATTTGCATGCCATGTGCGGATTGTTTGGTAGAAGCAGAAAACATTTCACTGGTGTCGTCTGTCCCACCTCGATTCTGAAACAAGTTCTCAAGCTAAAGAATAAAGAAGCTTACCTGTCTCACTCCCAATCAAAGGCTGGTTTGCAAAATGCTTGACAAAATCAGTCAAAGAGGAAAATTCATTGAAGCCAAATTTAAAAGAATATCCGGTATATTCAACATGAAAGTGCTTCACAGAGTCCTTTGCCCTGAAAGGAAATGAAGAATGTTTGAAGTAATGTGGCAAATCTATCTTTCTGGAACCCCTGGACACTCCTTCTCCAAACTCAGCACCAGCTGGAGGCTTGGCTGGGTCCCTGCACCCCGGGTACCCCTGGAAGTGACCTCCAAGTCCCCTGGGAGTGAATGAAATGACATTTAAAAAATAATGTATTGATAAATTGTTAATTTATTATAGTAAATGTCATAATTTATTTGTAATATTTATTATAATAAAGTGACCTCTGAGTACCACCAGGTGAGGCCCCCAAAGCAATAAAGAGGAAAACCAGGAGAAACGAAGTGTCCAGGCCAGGGCCTCGCGAGCAGCCCATGGCGCCTGAGAGCTCCCAGGCCCCCACCGTGCCCCACGTGGCCGTGTCCCTTTTTGTTTCTGATCCCCCACAGGAGTGAGGCTGGCTTGTGTCCTCCAGGAAGCAGCAAGGTGAGGCGAGGCCACTAGGCTTTTCCCCTCACTCCTGGGACAGTCAGTGCGTGTCGGGGACAGGAGCCCCCAAAGGGCTGCGTGTGCAAGGGAGCCTCTGTGACCTGTGTGACTTGTGACCTCATGGGAGTCCCCAGCTAGTCCACACTGACCCGGCTCCTCCCTCCATCTGCCCCCACCATGGAGTCCTGAGGCTCAAGCCCTGTCCAGTTCCAGGTCATGGCACATGGGCCCAGCGAGGCTGGATGCCCCAGAGACAGTGACAGCCTGAGCCAGGCTGGATGCCCAGGGACAGGGACAGGCCGGGCGAGGCTGGACGCCCAGGGACAGGGACAGGCTGAGCGAGGCTGGACGCCCAGGGAATAGGGAGAGGTTGGGTGAGGCAGTACGCCCAGAGAAAGGGTGACAGGTGCTGAGTCTGGGTTGTTGCATCTTCCAGTGGACGGAGGTCAGAGAGACCTTGAGGGTCCATGGCTGGGAGTGTGGCTCCCTGGACGTGGCAGAAGATGTTTGTGACTGTCGACTGTGTGTGTCAGAGGCATAGACCCTCCCACAGGGCCCAGTGCTCAGGGAGCCCCGAGGCCACGGGGGTGTCACTCTGGGACCACATCAGTGGTGGCAGCCCTGTCTGTCCTGTGGGGTGGGGCTCCACTCACACCCTCCTCACACACAGGGTCCCCAGGGCCGGACACCCACCTGACAGACAGACAGATAGATAGGCCGGGATACCTACCTGATGGACAGACAAACAAGCCAGGACACCCACCTGACATTCAGATAGGCCAGGACACCTATCTGACAGACAGACAGACAGACAGAGAGGCCGGGACACCCACCTGACTTTCAGACAGACAGGCCAGGACACCCACCTGACAGACAGGCAGATGGGCTGGGACACCCACCTGATGGACAGACAGACGGGCTGGGACACCCACCTGACGGACAGGGCATAGAGGCTGGACTGGTCCTGGCTGTCTCGGAGCAAGTAGCTGCCATCGATGCCATTGGAGAGCAGCAGGGCCTCGGCCGCGTGGCGTGTCAGGGCTTTGTGGTACCACCTGGGGGGGGAGTATCCATCACTCGGGCTCTCGACCCCTCTTCAGGCCCCACACGCACCCACAGAGCCCCTGCCCCGCCCTCCTCCACAGCCGCTGCTGTGTGACCTTGGGCCAGGCCGGAGGGGCAGCCCAGGGCCCTGGGCGGGTGCTGAGGGGTCTTGTCGAGAAGGTCAAGCCAAACAATCCCTTTGCTCTTTCAGCCTCTCTCACCCCCTGCCGTGCGCACAGCATGGAGCCATCACGGGAGACCCCTGGACGTGGAGCCAAGAGAGAGGCTGTTGTGCGGGGGCCCAAGGTCTGTAGACAGCTACGGGGCATGGGGGGGGCCAGAGGGAGGCAGGTGTGCTCAAGAGGGGCAGACACTGTTTCAGGACAGGCAGGTGCTGGGGAAGATGATCTTGTCCGCCAGGACCCCCAACACTTGGACCGGCCTAACGTCCAGCTGCCCCTGAGGGGTCCTGCCAGGAGGCCCAGCCACTGCCAAGACTTCCCCGGGCCGGGGACTCCGGAGCAGCAGGGGACAGTCTGTGGGGGCTGAGGCTCCGAGGCAGAGACATGGCGAGCACAAGGGGAGGCCTGGGCGGCCCAGTGGGTTCTGCTGGGCCAGCTGCCTCCCACTGTGGGGCTTTTGGCGAGGGCCTCGGAGACACCACACGGAGTCTCGGGCATGAAATACACAGAGAACCCAAAGCCCGGCTGGAACAGGCAACAACAAAAAGTCCTGCCTTGCTGCACCAACTCATGTTTGGCCCCCAGACCCACGCTGTCCCCTGAGCTGTAGGAGTGCGTGCTGAGCGTCACCGGGCATGGCCAGACCAACAGTGACAATAAGACTTTCCTGATAACAAGGAAATTTCCAGCAAAACAAAATGTTTGTGACCCGCCCGCCACCCCCCCCCCCCCCACACACACACATACACACATGCACGCACACACACACTCCACACTCAGTGACGCGCCATCTGTTCAGGAAACCGGATGATACCCTAAAGGACTTTCCTCTTGCCCGTTTACCTCGAGCTTGTCCCCCCGTTGCCTGAGACCTCCCCCGTTCGCTCCGTTCTGGGCCTGCAGTTCCCAGGAGGTCTCGGGAGCTCAGGTGCCGCTCACCTCCTCTCACTGCACCGTGAGCCCCGGCCAGATTGCATGAGCTTCGGGCAGTTGCCTCACATCCTGCTGACTCACCCTGAGTGTCTCAGCAGCTCCCAGGTGAGGGGTTTCTGCCTGTCCCCCCACCCCCCAGGGCGGTTTTGAGAACTGAGGAGAGGAAGAACCTTTCCACTGCCCACAACTGACAAAGTTCCGCTCTCCTGGCCCGGCTCTCGTCTGTCACGGTGACTAATTGAGACTTTCTGTGAAGCATCCTTCCTATCAGTGTCAGAGCACTGTCTTCTCCTTAGGATTTTGTGATTCTTCTTTCTCTCTCTCTCTCTCTCTCTCTCTCTCTCTCTTTCTCTCTCTCTCTCTCTCCCTCTGCCTCTCTCTCTTTCTCTCTGTCCCTTTCCTTCTCCCTCTCCCTCCCTCGCTCCCTCCCTTCCTCCCCCTTTCTCTCTTTCACACTCCTTAGAGTTCTGTGACTTTTCTCTCCCCTCCTCTGTCTCTCTTTCTCTGTCTCTGTCTCTCTCTCCCTCTCTCTCTCTCTCTCTCTCTCTCTCTCTCTCTCTCTCTCTCTATCTCTCTCTCCCCCCCCCCACCCCTTAGGGTTCTGCGACCCTACCCAGGTGACAGGGCACTGATGGTAATGGCGTCTCTTGCAAAGCACTTGGCACTTTGAACATGCTTCTCAGTGGTTTAGCTCATTTTCCTGAAACTAAAACCCCTTCTATTTCTACCTTTCAAACAGAAAATAAAAATCTATTTTTTACTTCTTGTTTTCCCCCAAAGAAGCTGCTCTTAACAAGAACTTGAAGCCCGTTGTTCCCTCCTGCTCGCCCAAGGCCGTGCTAAGACTTGTCACTGGGCAGGTGCTCATCCAAGGACAAGGCAACGTTCTGCTGGCTCTGGAGGAACAGCAGCTACTAGGGAAGTGCTGGCGTCACCCTTCTATGACAGTCGTGCGCCAAGAAACGGCCTTGAAGGAAAGCAGGTCGCTCAACCCCAAAGACGCGCCGGAGCGTGCCGGACGGCCACAGCCCCATCACACGGCCTGGTGCCTCACAGACGCTGACTCCCCCGGCTTCCTCATCTCAGTTAACGTTCGTTTGCTTCCGTCCTCAAGAGAAGCTCTCGGCCTTTTGGAATCAGCTCGGGTACGAAACACTTCATGTCTCATTTCACGCATGTGTGTACGTACACACAGAGAGAAACACAAACACAAAGAGCTAAGTATTTCAGGGCATACCACACTCCGTCAGTTACTCTTCCTTCCTGTTTTGCTGCTTTTGGTTTTGGGTCCACACCCAGAGGTGCTCAGGGTTGGCCCCTGACTCTTCTTTGGGAATCTCTCCTGCAGTGCTCGATGAACCGTCTGTGCTCAGGCGTCAGACGAGGCATGACTGTGTGCGAGCCAAGCTCCCTTCCCCTGTTCTCTCCTGCCTCTCCTGTTTCTCACGTCAGTCGGGTTCCTCACTGCACACGTGCCCCTGCCCGAGAAGCTTGCAGAGAACCTGTTAGCTGCCTGGGGACCAGCCCTGTCCCACAGACTCTCCCTCTTAGGCCGGGATGAGATGACCAAGACAGAGATGACCATGTCTAGTGCCCCGAGGAGGGCGGGGGACACCCTCAGAGCCCGCTGGTGCAGTTTGCTGGTGCTGGAACCTGCGCTCTGGAGGAGAATGGGGTACAGTGATCAGGGAAGGCTTCTGGGAGAGGAAGCTGTTCCTTGGGGTTGAGCAAATGTGGGCGTGAGAAAAGGGATCCAGAGGACGGGCCTCAGCAGGGGCCTGAGCTGACACACCTGTTCTTACAGGGAAATCAGGGGGTCAGAGCACGGGGCCCTGTAGGGCTGTGGCCCTCAACTCATGCCAGCCAGCCTGGACCAGTGGGCAGGTGATAGAACGATGCTGGCCTCTGCGGTACAGCTCCCCGTAAGGGAGTTTCCATAGAATAACATGGCTGTCCCTTTCTCCTCCGCCCTTCCTCCCTGGCTGCAGGGAGCTTGGGTTTATTGGGTCACACCCATCACAGTGCTCCTGAGGCATGCCCATTCCTCTGTGTTTGTCTGTAACCTCTCCTCTGGGCTCTGCTTCCCCTGTCTGTGAATCACCTATATCCCCAAATCAGAACCTGGGACTTGTAAGGTTCAACTCTTCTGAGGACTCTGGACTTTGTATTTGTAAGGGACATACTGCTTTTTTCTTTCACTTATGTCCTTTGCATAGTTTACTTCAGAGCAATGTCCTTTTTGTATAGACATAGGAAGACAGTTAATGCTGTGCTTTTGTAACTTGGAGTTAATTGATTCTTGTTGGGTAACATTGCTTTGTCCTTCCACAAGAAGCCTAGGTTTATCTGGTTACACCCATCAATCTGGTTACACCCATCACAGTGCTCCTGAAGCACTTCCACTTCCATTGTGTTTATCTGTAAACAGTCTTCCCTATGCTCTCCTTCCCACCCAGTTAATCAGCTTTCCCTTTAATCAGACTTTGTTAATTTGTAAGATCAATTTCCCAGAAATCTATGATTTTATATGTATGAATGAAATATTACCTTTCTCCACTCCTTATGCCTTATGAATAGTTTACCTTAAAGTAATGTCCTTTTTGTATAGATACAGGAAGACCGTTAACATTATGTTTTGTAACTTAGGATTTGATTGGCCTTGAATATTATTCACTCCGGGGCATCTGCTTTCTCGACTTAAGCCTCAGTTGCCCTTAGTTCCTAACACCCCAAAAGCAGGGTCCCGACGAGGGACTGAATGGACCCAGGGCAAGCAGTGAGCTACCGTGGCAGCGAAATGGGCCAGGCCAAAGTGCCACGATTCTTAACTATAAGTTAAGAGTTTGATCATAGACAAATGCTGTCATGATCCAAAGGTAACGACAAGACTAGGATCCTGCTAGGGGTGGGAAAGACTATCTGGCCTGAGCACCGTAGCCTGAGATCGAGATGGCCCTAGGAGAGCAATTCTATAAATTTAAGATATTTCTTACTGTATCCATACAAAATGATTTATATTATATTCTTATATGCTTGTCGGACAAGGAGAGGAGAGGCACGCCCATGGGATTATGCTCTAGGGTGGGTCCTCCTGCTGAGGAAGGATCTGTCCTAGGCGTGGTCTTCCCTGAGGCTAAGATTTCTACCCCTATTGATTTCTACCCCTATTGATTGTGACCGCACCTATGTGTAATTGTTTCCCCAATTCTTCATGGAGAGAGGATTTAAGGAGACTGTAGGAGTGGGCTGGAGGTTCAGAGAGGATCAGAAGGAGGAGGAGGATGAAGGGGGATGGAGAAGGAGAATGAAGTAGCTGGGAGAGACAGAAGGGGCAGAGACGAGGAGAGACAGAGAGAGACAGGAGCAGAGACAGATGAGGAGAGAATCAGAATAAACTACGACTAATACCAACCAGCCTGGCCCTCGTTCCTTCCTCCCCCTGACCATCGCCATCAACCTCTCCGGGGTGGGAGAAGGGTGAGACTACCGAACGCGGGCGGCAGGAGAGATAGAGCCACCGCTGCTGTGTGTGTGCTGTGCCCCCTTTGTGTGAGTTTACACAGATTCTGAATGACATTCACTCCAGGGCACCTGTCATATATATACTTGACTTAGCCTCAGTTGCTCTTAGTCCCTGGCTCCCCAAAGGCAGGGTCCCAATGAAGAAACTTGGATGGACCCAGGGAAAGCTGTAAGCTCCCCTGGCCCTGAAAAGGGACAGGCCAAGCACCACAAAACTTACAATAAGTTAAGAGCAATGATCATGGGTGAATTCTGTCACGACCCAAAGAGAAGTGACTGGACAAGGGCCCTGCTGGGGTTAGGCAGGACTCATCTGGCCTGAGCACTATGGTCTGGGGTCTATAGCGAGATGCCCCAAGGAGAGCCACCCTGTA